AACTGATTGGAGCTGACGATGTCATGTCGCCCATGCTGTGGGCAAAGTTGTCTCTTGAAGAGCAGGGGATAGTTTTGAAGGACAACATCCTCATGCAGGACAACAAAGCACGATCATTCTTGCAGAGAATGGCAAAGGCAGTTCAGGAAAGAGGACTCGGGCCATCAACATTCGTTTCTTTTTCTTCACGACAGATGGAAAGGCAACCTCAGAGTGGTGTACTGCCAACCTTGGAGATGCGTGGAGATTTTTTCACGAAGCCCCTTCAGGGCAAGCTCTTCCATGAGCACAGGGCTTTCATCATGGGGCATCCACCCCTTGTTTGATTGCCTAATTTATTTTATTCGTTCCACGGTAGCCACTTAGGGCACCGTGCAGGAGTGTGTTGGAGGAAACATACCTGACACCTCTTTTACTATTGACTCGTGTATTAATCATCTAGTCCGGTTCGCATGCAAATTCATCATGCAAGGAACCAAGGGAGTTTTAGGTCTAAGTGTTACGGGGGTCCTTATTATCCAATTCAATCACAAGAATTGCTATGCACCACCAGAAAATCCTCACTTTTGCTTTTCAGCTTAATCTAAAACCAAATTACTCCCCAATAAGCTGCAGTATTACTAGCAAATAACAACCGGTGTCATGCACTGGAACTTCTTGCAATCACGCGGTAGGTCCATTCCGCCTCCAGTCCCAGTGTATGATGTCCTGTAACGTGAGGAAATACTACTTGAATAGAGGGATCTCGTAGAGGTAGCTACCACCCAACGATATCAACTGCGCTATTCAAGACGAGTGCAAGGTAAATTGCAAAGTTCGCTTCTTAGTAATTCATAATCTTGTGTTGTGAGCTTTGCTTGATGCGATCAGTAAAGCTAGCTTGTAGCGTGTTAGATCAATGCATCGTGGTAGTTGATCTTGATTCATACGGAAGTCAATGTGGGATCTACGTGAAACGGTTCGTTGGCAGGATGCTTTACTCTTGTCGAATACTCCAGTTTGCCGTTTCTTTTGGTTTCGTTGAGAACGTGTTCTTGCCAGCGTCCTATGTTCCATCGTGTTGACTCATGAAGCATGGCTCAATCTATTTACGGATACTCTGAGTCGTGGGAGGAACTGTAACGCTTTCACTCCCCTCAGTGGCGACTGTCGACTCTGAGTGTTTCTTACCGCAGTCCTTAGTATCTCCTGATCAAAACAGCAGTGCGTTCAGCATAGGCCATACCTGTTGGAGGAAATATTCCTGATACCTCAATTATTATTGACTCGTGTATTAAACATCTAGTCCGGTTCGCATGCATATTCATGATGCAAGGAACCGAGGGAGTTTTAGGTCTAAAGTGTTACGGGGGTCCTTATATCCAATTTAATCACAAGAATTGCTATGCACCACCAGAAAATCCTCACTTTTGCTTTTCAGCTTAAACCAAAAACCAAATTACCCCTCAATAAGCTGCAGTGCTAGCCTTTTAGCTAGACAAAAAACACTGAAAAGCAAAAGTCTCATCTCGAGTTCGACAGTCAACACCTCGAGATTGATATCATCAAGTTGACCTGAAGTATACAATACCAAAAGGTATCAAGTGAGTTAACACCTGCAACAGAGCAGAGGTGCGCAGAATCAGGCTCTAGCTACTCTATAAAGGATACCGAACACCTCTAACACGAAAGAGGTGCGTGCGCGGGATTCCCATCTTCAACCAAGGTACGATATGATCGATCTACAGTTTCCGGCCGGAACTGGAAAGATCTACGTACAGCAGGTGATCAAGGAGATCGAACTACACGGATCTCAACGCGGAAGCAAGGAAATCCGGCTGTTATTGCGAGAGTTACAGACGATTACGTCATCGTGTCATCGCGCGTGATTTTCATCCATCTCATCACATCGAGAAGAAGTCAACAAACGGGGATCAAGATAGATCCTGACACAGACGTTGCAAGCAAAAGGTCCCATACATCAATCGATAGAGGACATCTAGCCGCATCTCTCAGTATCAGTGCAAGCTTCTAACTCCAAGAATTGAGTGAGATAGGTTGATTCGAGTGATACAGTGCTACTGTGAAGAGAAACACAAAATCACGAGGAAGCTCATAAGTATCACGGAGAAGCAAATCTCCACCGTGCACCTGTTTCAGTCATTGAAACTCACACAGTGTACTCATCTAAGCATACTGAAGACCTCCGCAGGAGCACAGAGGCATACGAAAGGCTACAGAGGAGTTCGCTACTACCCTGATCAAGCCACAAGAACCACGTTTTACGTGAGCTGTCAAAGACAGTGGCTATCCAGCCACCAAGCAAGCTTTTACAAGCAGAGACAACTACACGAGTAGTGTCCACCATGAGATCCTTCCTGCAGGAGTATCCACAAGCAAGCGCCAAGGAACAAGCAAGCGCAAGAGTGCATTCCCACACCAAGACCATGAGATTCCAAGGAAGAGGTGGTCGTGGTGGAGGAAGATACCCTTCAAGGGGGGTAGGGGATTCAATTCCTCAGGAAGAAGCCATCAAGGCAGAGGTAACAGGAACCCCAACAAGAGTTCCAAGCGCCAATACCTGTTCCATCCCAATGGACAGGCAGACAACAGGTACTATCCTTTTGAAGAGACTTTGACCCACATTGTCCAGAACCTCAGGGTCAAGCCTAAATGGAATGATGTGCCACTGGCTTCATTGGCTATTGAAACCATGACCAGTCAGGCACCAACCAAGCCGACCAGCCGACAGCTAAGCCAACATCTGCGGATCCCAATATCCTAGAGTACGATGCCTTGGAACTCAGCGAGTACAAGTCAGAAGCATCGGTCTATGACAAGTCGACTCGCTACTATGAGAACATCCTCAAGACTGGTGCAACTACCATTCAGATGACATACTGTACCAAATCCATGAAGTTCAAGCTGAGAGGCCTAGGAGACTATGAGGACGCAGTCAAGCTCAATCCCATTGTGATGCTAAAGAGAATCCGTCTGATAGTGATGCAAGGCTCTACCAAAGAGTTCCCATTACTACAATTCATCAAGACCATCCAACGTGGTTTGTTCCCGAAACAAGGTGACCACGACAGACTTGACTACTACTTGAGGAAAGTCGACAGCGATGTGGATCAAGTCTATGACCTAGTAGGAACGGCGTTCATTGATGTCAGAACTCTGAACACAGACGACTACAAGGCCGCGTCTGGCCAGGATGCCAAAGACAAGGTGCTGCTGATGGAACGAGCCAGGTTGAAGGCCACCGTGGGCTACCATGGACTACAGGAAGGCAGATACGGAGACTACCAGAAGACCGTTGAGGCAGCCTATGCCATGGACGGCACCATCCAGTTCCCTGCTACCCTGGATCATCTCAGAGAGACACTGTCCAATGACAGATTCAAGGCCAGCAAGGAATGGTTGGACCAGCGGAAGGCCAGGGAACGGAAACCTTACTCTAATCCCAAGCCACCTCCTTTTGATCCCAAGAAGATGAAGGAAGGACTTCCAGCTGCTGTCTTCTATCAACAGTCACAACCAGGAAGGCCCCGTCATGGGACTTAAAGTCCCGGATCGATCAAAGTCGCGTAGGATCGCTAAAAGTCGTTCACAAAGTCGCGTGCTAGTCGCGTGCGAGTCGCATGCGACTTTGGTACGACTTTCCAAACGACTTTCAGCGATCCTACACGACTCTGTCACCTTGCTTTTAGAAAGCGTGCGAGAAAGTCGCACGCGACTTTCATGCGACTCGTATGTGACTTTACATACGACGTTTGATGCGACTTTGATGCTGTGTGCGACTTTATGCTGATTTTTGGCGACCAGCAGTCCCGTGACCGGGCCTTCCAGGGGAAGCCTGCTACTGTTGCGGCAGCCCAGATCACAAGCTCCCTCAGTGCAAGGTCAAGTCCAAGATCCCCAAGCCCGAGTGGGCAATCAACAAATTCAATGGCATGAAGAAGTCCTTCATGCCGCAGTACCATCAACATCAGATGCAACTGCTCCAAGGAGTGCCTACCACAGTGGTGACGGCACCAGCTCCAGCTCCAGCCGGAGACACTTCGACCAGGAGTGGATTCAGTGGAATCCCTCCACCTCCTACGAGCCAGTCGAACTTCCAGCAGTGTCCCATGTCGAGCCAGGCCTCACAGGCCAGCGCGCCAGGGTCAGTGCAGTTCCAGTTCCAACACCATCAAGTTGACGGAGTCCCGCCCCTGATGGCCAGAGATGACTCCACAACCGATAGTGAGCCGGAAGATCCAGTAGACTGGGGGCAATTCGCCGTTGATTTCCTTGGAGGAGTCCCGCTTTATGCGGAAGAGTGGAGGTGAGATGAGACATCATCAGATTACAGCTACCACTCCGGCTACAGCCACAATCAGGTTGATGAGGGAGGTCCAGACGGTGTAAGCATCGGGTCTGACCTCGTCCTACAGCGGTACAGTAACACCCATAATATTCTTGTGAGTCGTTCTGCCTTCCCTGACACTTCCTTCAACACAGATCCGTTCGAAGGAGTGATCCCTCGGAATGGGCAAGGCGATGATCAGAGCTGTTGTTCCGATTACAGCTCGGATTCAGAGAATGAGTTCCGCTGGCGGAAGAAGATTATCACGTGGGCGCTATCGACAGCTGAAGAGGAGATCAAGGAATCGCAGTTCGAAGGGGCTGCAGAAGATGCTTGTGATGCCATCAAGAAAGCAGTTCGATTGCTGCGAAGCCTTCCGGGTGCTGCTGCTGAAGTACTCAACGAACCCTTTGACAACGCCCGCACGAAAGTTGCCAGCGCAAGCACCCAAGACGCCGAAGCAATCAAACGTCACGGCGCCACAGGCTAAGGGCCGCTTGACGCAGAAGCTGCCACCGGAGACTCCACAATTCCATGCGAAAGAGGCGACGGGTGGCTCTCCTGATAGCCACGATAGCAACGAAACGGAAGCGACGATGACGTCCATGGAGTACCATTACAACTGACTTACTTCATCAGAGCTAACAACAGTCTAATAACAACTCTAAACGTTGAAATCTATAACAGGTTGCTTTAATTAAGATCTATTAGTCAACACCGGTAACAGTTTTCTTCCGTTCCAATCATGGAGTCATGTGGACGGTACCGGTGTCATGATGAAGAAAAAGAGCGAGACAGAGCCAATGACAATGACAAGACCAAGCTTAGAATTCGACCGAGGCATTCATATTGCGCATGCTGGTGGCCAAACGTCTCTCGCTCCTCGAGCGTTGGGATCGCCGTGACGGAGCCTTGGTCATTCCCTCTCGTCGAGACACGTTCCTTCGGATCTGTGGTCTTGCCTTGACTACCGGCTTGGCATCATCGTCGAAAAAAGACGAAGAATGCCCCGCGGATGACTCCAAAGAGGAATCCAATGTTTCGGGAAAAGCTTCGTCAAACGTGAAGGAACTGCCAAAGTCCGCCGAAGGATCCAAGTCAAAAATATCGACACCAAACGCATCTCGCCACGAGTCATGAAAGAAGTGGCTGCTGCTGCGGTTATTCTGATTGTGCATGGAGGTGCTCAAACCACCACCGCGACTTCGTTGTCGTGTCGTTGACCGCCGCCCTGTGGAATTGGAGCTCGAGTTGGTCCTTCGCACACTGGGGCGTTGTTGTCCACCCTCTCTTCGCGATCGGCGTTGGCGTGATGAGTGGGAGCTCCTGCATTCGTTCATTGTCCAATACTAACTAACTAGCCTAATCGAGTAAAGTGAATGGCTCAGTAAAGTGTGTTGCCACCGGTATCCAAAGTTTGAAATTGTGAGGCCAAAGCGAGGAGGTGGAAGAGGAAAAGACGAGCGTCCCTTTTGACTTCTGAATCAGCTCTTGATCGCTGCTTGTGGGTGCGGTGGGCTTTAAACCTCTCTGAAACGGCAAGATTGAACGAGAATATTAGTAATTAACTAAATGCCTAAAGATGTCTCTTCAACTTTGCCTTATAAGTCTTTAGATGTCTTTAGCATCCTAGTGTCTGCCAACGGAAAAACTCAGTAAGTGTGACCATTTTTTACGAGCAAGACATCTAAATCTTTCTTCAACCCTGGGAATGGAAAATTCATGCTACTAGTACACGCTTGTACCTTGATCATAAGCTACCATAATCATACCGTACGGTACAGTAACACTGAGTAGTAAGATATTAGCTAGTACCTTTTTGGATTTTTCAACTCAATGGACGTACGGTACGGGTGTACATGTACCGGTACCGGTACAAGTACGAATACAATATAATCTTCATAATGAGGTAAACATGTCACTGGTGCTTTCACAAAGAGCCACCAAGAGCTCCACAACATCAATCCCGCGGCTCATCTTGTTGCGGTTGTTGGTTTGGATGCAACATACATGTAGGTCTAGTAGACGCGCCATCAAGCCATCAACCAAGTGGAGTACCGGTATCCTCTCCCTGAACCCTGAAGAAGCAGAGCGCTTGAGTTCTTTACAGTACAGTATCTGGTATACCCAGAAAGAATGGGCAAACGATCGGTATCCTTTTCAGAGGAAGTGGGCAAAATCCCCGAAGACATTCTGGAGCCCTACCTTTGCAGCTTTTCGTTGGATGAAGATCCCTATTGCCAATCATTGGGTGTGAGTTCCTTGACACTGCTGCGATGTGCCAAGTTGCTGCAAGGCTTTGTCCGTGACAATCTGTCCCATTGGAAGTATTTCAATGAGGAACGGTCGAGGATTGTGGAACAACTGGATGACATACAAGTCATGAAACGGGGAGAAATGGAACGAGTCGAAGACTTTATCACGGAAATGCGACGGGAAGTCGAAATGGAACTGGCACTCGAGTTTGATGGGGAACACGTGGAAGAAGATCCGGATCTGATGAAACAGGTCGAAGAGCAAAAAAACAAAGTCAAAGATTTGGAAGCCGATAATGCTCGCTTGAAACAACAATCCGAAGATACCAAACGGCAAAACAAAACGCTGGCCATGGAAACATTCCAAATATACGAATCCATTCCGCAAAAATTGTCAGATGTCAGAGGCTACCAAGCAGAAGAAAAACGATTGCAAGGTATTAGAGACAAGTACGCCCACGCCATCCAAACTCTCCAGGGCATGATCAAGACTGTGAAGGCGGATATTGCCGACGAAAAGGAAGATAGAGAGAATATCGAAAACTGTATCATGATCATCATCATGAACGTGGAGGAACGGACCAGCAAGAAAAAGCTAGTGGAAAAACTGTGGGACATGAAGTTGACTTTGGAGTCTCTGGTCGAGGCGTCCTAGCCAACTAATTACTACAAAAAGTCAAATATATTGACAACACAATCTGCAACTTCTCGGAGAAAAGGTTGGATAAAGCCGTTGGCATCTGACTTGACCTCAGGAACCCTGAATGAAAAAATTCTGATCACAACCAAAGTCCTTGCTTCCTGTCATGAAGTGGTGTACGCTTCGTCGGTTTAGCCGCCTCTCGTTTACAAGGCTGGTTGCTGTGTCCCAATCACCAAGTTGGTTAGTCTGAGCCAAACTTGGGCACACGAAGAATCGAGCTTGAACCGTGCGACAAAACCTGCCACCCCATCGCCAGCAGTACTCATTTGATTCGACGCTAGCAAAGGAGAGGAACCCACCAGGACATGGTTGCGTGTTGTATTGAGAGCAGAGATCTTTGCGGGATGAATCTACTCGACATCCGACACCCAAGAATCCTACAGACTTATAATACAGATCCAGGTCGAAGTGTATTAGCTAGTCTAGGCATGGTACTTCATTGTCTTTTACTTCTTTAGCTAGCTTTAGAATTTTAAAAGAATGTTATGTACATATATATCGTGGTTCAAAATCGAAGGTTACAGGACACTTGCAGAGCTTCTCGGCTCAGCACCAAAGGCTCCGGGCTGGGAGCAAACGCCTTGGCTGCCTTGTACCTTCGGATAGCTGCACTCTTGACATTCTTATTGGTTCCGTCAGCAGACGGTCTCTTTTCTTTCACGACATTACAGAGCAGTTCCATGTGGTTGTTGTTGCTTCTGCGGGGTTTTGTTGTTACCGTCACTTCTTCCCACATTACATTTTCAAACTTCCCAAACTCGAATGCCTGCCGCCTCAGAACTTGATTGGGATCCAAGGCAAAAATGTTGTCACCAAAGCTGTCGGTAGAGACAAACTTTTTGTTTTGTTGGTGTGGGGGAGATTGCTGCTTTTGTCGACCACTAAAGCGACGCCTTTGTCTCGTGGCTGCCAGAGTGGCCAGGGCAGGTGTGGTTTGACTCCTGGTCAACGTGGCAGCAGCAGCAGGCTTTGGCGTGGGAGTGCTGCTAGCGATACTGCTTCGTCGTGACTGTCTTCGCGAGGGCTTGGTGGTGGGGCTCTTGTTGTTATTGTTGCTGCTGTTGTTCTTGCTGCTTGTTCCCGTCGAGTGGCTGCGTCGCCCCGACGACCGACGCGGCTTTCTATCACTCGTCGTATCATTCGTCGTTGTTGGTTCCGACGGATGAGGATGGCCCTTGCTGCTGCGACGGCGTCCTTGCTTTTGCTTGCTGGTTCGTCCACTTGGTGTGGTGGATGACTTGTTGTTGGTGCCATGCTCCATACTGACGCGTCGTTCGCGTTTGGTCGAACGAGGTTCTTTACTGACGCACATATCGGTTGGCATAGCTGTTGGCATGTTGTCCACCATGAGGCTGCTTTCGCTTCGATTCATTTGACCCGTGCTTCCCCTCCTTGGAGCTCGACGGTGACGGTTGCGGCTGTTGTTGCTAGTGTCAATCATCTTGATAACTTCTGGTTGAAATCGCTGACGCCTTGTGTGCGAAGGCAAAGTTTAAAAGTGAGCAAACAACCAAGCAAACAAAATAGATGGGGTGGAATGAGATCCGGTAGCTGATCCGGTAGAGAATGAGAGGCAGATTGAACGAATGATGAATCAATCGATGCCGATTCAATCGCTTTGTCACACTGAAAAGCTCTGAGTTCCAGCCAAAGTTTCAGGACGATCACCTCTTTGCACTGTGCGTGGTCCTACAGAACGCAATCCCAGTGACACAGCTCCTAACTCTTCTGTGGTTGCTGATTCGCAAAACGAGCGTCCCACGGTAAAACATGCGGATTTAGATCCATTCCAAGGACATCCGAGGACCAATAAGTTCCTGAAACTTGGATGACATTCAATAAACCCTCTTTCTGTACCAAAGACCATAGAAAGATACACAGAGAAGCCCATTTAAATCCTCCATTGCTGAAGGAAAAAGGAGCAGGAGATGGGTTATAAATCAATATCCCAGTGAAATTCTTTGTTTGCTTCACGGGTTCACAGGTGCTTATGACAATGACGCAGTCCTTATGACAATGACATAACAACAGATCGTGGACTTAGGCCAATACGATGTCCCGGTGACTCCCACGACTGTCCTTTTACTATTTGGTTTTTACAAGCACGCTGGTACTGTACCGCTGCCTTCCCCTCAGGTCAGTACTTTTTGCAAAAAAATTGTATGTCTCATGTCTCAGCACTCAGCACCAACTCAGTGACCGCCCTCCTGGTTTCGCTGATGAGAGATCCATTTTTCCGTTCATCTTCCGTACCGGTAGATGCAGTTGCTTTGACAAAGCTAGCTAGACACTTCAGAAGCTTCAAAGACTGGACAGGATTTGAGTCCAGTCGAGTCTAGTCCGTCCTTTTCTCCTAAGGTATGGTACCGGTAGAGGTCCACTACCTGCTTTCAGGCTGGGCTGGTTGCGTGTTCTGGATCTTCAGCCAGAAGCAAGTCTTCCTCGAATCAACAAGGCTGATAATTCCGACCAGAGTCTAGTCAGACACAGACTCAGCCTGAGGTGGGCTGCCGGTGTCGTTCTACTGGACATGCAGGCCACTTACTTTTATTTTGTCCAGTCCTCCCTCATTCATCTCGGGCATCCGAGGAACTGCAAACCAAATCTTCCAACTCAGCATGCCAGGGCTGCAATTCAGCTGCATGCATTACTACTCTAGTACATGTACCCACCGTGCAGTACCGGTATAATCCAAGCTGTGTGTTGGGGATGGTACATGGACAACAGAGGACCAGGTTGCTTGTTGGCAAAACTTTGCCAAGAACCTCGGTAGCTTAGCTGTAGCTTCGTGTCCACGATCCGTCTTTCTTGCGTACATCTACGTAACGACATACCGGTACCGGTAGGGTTAAGGGGAAAATAGAGGTGCACATAGTGCCCACGGGAGACAGGAGGACGGATGGGTTGTGGGGAAAGCTTCACGGAATCGGCAAGGACCGTTATTAAATAACACACAGAGGCAAAGTAGAGTTGAGGTGGCCGAGCTAGCTAGCCAGACTACTAGTACGGTACCAGCAAGTGACACCAAATAAGCGCAGATGATGATGTCAATATGTCAATAATGGCAGGGCAGCGAGTACAGTACTGTAGACTAGTCTAGCTAGAGTGCTCATGTGCTTATCTATTTTAATATGACCAATAGCAACACATCGTGGAATGATGCCAGGACAATGTCCCTATGATGCGACTCCCACGATTGTTCTATAATATTTTATAAAAAATGCTTCTTCATTATTTTTATAAACACACCGGTACCGATAGACCGATAGCGGCACCTCCAACTCAGGTCTCAGCACCAACTCGACAGTGGCCAGCCTCCTCGTTTCACTGAGAGATCCATTGATTCGATTCATCAGGAGTGGATGCAGTAGTTGCTTTGACAGAGATGGATACTCGTACTTCAGAAGTTTTGAAGGCTGGAGAGGAGTTGAGTCGATTGTTCTCGATGACCGTCGACGCCATCATGAAGAAAATTCCTGCTGATCTCCGCAATTCTAATGGTTGCCTCTCGTTCGCCGAGAGCAATGGCTCTCGCTGGAAACGGTCGAGTTGGTTGCGGGGTTCCATGGTTGTCCTTGCCGTTCTATTTTTTGTCGTTTACTACCAAGCCGGCTCTGTTCGTCGTATATCGATGAACGAGAAAAGACAAAGAGACGTACATGTAGCTATGAAGGATGGCGAAAGAAACCTTGAGCCTGGCAGGGTGGGGCGCCCTGACAGGCCACCAACTTACCTAACTTTAGCCAATCCCTCTACCCCGACTTCAACGCCATCCTCGCCACTGGGACCTCGAACGATACCAAGCCAAGCTCTATCCAGCCCTTCTGATTCTGCCGAGTCAGGATATCCAAAAGGCCAAGATTCTACGTCCAACCAAATGAACAACGAGGGCAGATCATTCCAACTCTCCAAATCGGGATACCCTAATGCTCCAGCCGTTCCAACAACGACAATGCACCCCGAGCCACATTCTGTAGAAAAAAGAGGTGGAGATGCGCATGCCCCGAACATGTCGATATCTCAAAATGTTCCGTCTTCCCTATTACCAATTCGAGACAGAGTGATTACATTTTGTCACATTGGAAAAGCAGGCGGCATGACACTGCGACGGGCTACCAGCTTAACTTGCCGATTGGCCAAACAACAGAATGACACACCGCTCAAAGTGCAACAATGCATCAACCGCACATTTCAACCCAACCATGTACTGGCTCGTTCCACACAATACTACTTTCACATGTGGGACGTCAATACAATAGAACTGGCAAATTCCACCTCCTTTTTGATGGCGTTACGAAACCCTGTGGACAGGGCCATTTCCTCTTTCAAATTTTCCCATCCCGGGAATTGCAAGCGAGAGCAAGATTACGACATTGCCAAAAGGCCATGGGGATGTCAAGTCAAGATGTACATGAAGAAACCTGACGAGGTTCAGCGTTGGATGTACCAGGTTTGCTTTCCTTCGGCAGGCATGGAAGAGTTTGCTCAGAATGTTTTGGGACCCTATCCCAAGAACAATCCAAGCCATCATTTTGTACATTCCAACATGACGCACGAGGTACAACAACAATGCCGATGGATAGCCCGGCAGCATTTGCGAGGACAATGGAGGCAGGGAGCAGGGCCTCACATGCTCTACAACTATGAATATTATCGCAACACGACCATTGGGAAATTCCCAGACAAGGAAGTTCTGGGTGTTCGGATGGAACATGAATGGGAAGATATCAAGGCGCTGGATGTTGCCATGGGTGGAAGTGGCGAATACCGCCATCGAGAGGGAATACATGAACGACACGGAAGTGAAACATTTGAAGCCTCGCCATTGACTACCGAAGCCTATCACAAGTTGTGTTGTGTCTTGGAGCGTGAAATTGGGGTCTATAGGGACATTTTGGATCTTGTTGTGAATTTGAACGCAACAGCCAAACAGGAAACGTTGGATGATGTACAACAAAAATGTGGAATAGAGACTTCCTGGGAGGACTGGGGCCGCAATTGTAGAGAACGCATGGCGACGGACCAGGCCGGCCTGGATGAATCCGTGAATCAACGGGGCATCCCCATGAAATAGGGGCACAGCTTCCCAACCTACCTGTACTACCAGCAGGCAGCAGGGGCGCCACGCAGACGTCAAAATGAGAGCGTTTTTGACGGTTATTTTTCAGTTTTCGGAAATGGGAACCCGGAAGTGGTCATTTTGCGATTCGTGCTTGTTTGCCTGTTTGCGGCAAACAGCAGAACAGAGAAGAATAACAAAGAAAAACTCAATTTTACCACCATGGCAACAATGTTGGCCAAATGGTCTCTAGCTTTACAACTACACTGAGATAGCTAATGCTTTCAGAGAAGCAGCTCCCCAACACACTCACAGACACTCCCCTTGAAAAGCATTAGCTATCTCCAAGGCTTGTCATGGAGCTCAGCAGAGAATTCCTGGCTGGATTGGTGGTTGATCTCCTTGATGCCAAGAAGGAGGACAATGTCTCTCCCTTCAAGGACTGTTGGTTGACCATTGATGCCCTCAAAGCAGTCATCTGTAAGAGATACATGGTCGCTCCGTGGAAGACAGAAGAAAGAAGAGCCGATCGATCGAACGGAAGCAGTCAACGACCGATCGTCGAACGGCAGCCGCTACCAACCAAACAAGAGGAGCCTGTCATGGAGTAGTAGTAGTAGCCATGAAAGAGGAGTAGCCGCTATAGAGGAGGAAGCATCATCTTGATAGAGTAAAGATAGAGGTATCGAACGGAATAATGACAACAAAAGAGGAGGATACGAGTGGCTTGGATTGATCGAACGATCCGAGTGATGTCAGTTGAGTTTAAGGTTAAGGCTATATGTCCCTTAAGTCTTTTTACGGAACGTTCCGGATCGCATTCGAATGTCGTACCGGGAGCGGGCTTGCGTTTGCGTCAATTGATCCGAGTCTGCTGGTACCACAGTAGCGAAACGACAGGGGGTCAACAGCACCACAATGTAGCAGGCCAGTTTAGTCTTGGTTTGCTAGTGACTCAATCAAGGAAGAAGAAGAAAAAAACACAAGTCCTCTGCATCAGCAAACAGTGTTGTTGTTGTTGCCATCTCCTTGTGATTACTACTAGCTAGTAGTGGTCATACCATCTACCACTACTCCACAAGAAGAAGCTGCTTGATTCAAAGTGCTTCCACTGTAAAAGTCAAATTCTGATCTGTACTGTATTGCATACGGTACTGTTTGATCAATGTAGTTTCCTGCTGCCCATACCGTTTACGGTTCATCGTGGGAACAATTTACTGTTTATGTTTACGTTTACCGTTCATACATTTACTTGTTCAAAAGAGGACAATATCTGTGTACGATATACGGTTTACAGTTTTACAAATTAAAGTTGATTTACGATAAACGATAAACGGTATCTCCCTCCTGCAATGTCTCCAAAAAGCAAGGCACAACCCAAAGCCACAGCAGATAAACGGTAAACGGTAAACAGTACACAAAATAATTGAAACGGTACACGGTAAACGTGTTGAATTCTCTTTACAAAAATATCAAAGAGAAAAACTGTGGTAAACGGTATACCGTTTGGGCTGGCACATCTGCACATTGTATACGTATACCGTATCCGCCACCTCATTGGTATGCTAAATTTTTAGGCAGAAGTGGGTGGGCCTGTACATTGTGGTGCTGTTGACCCCCTGTCGTTTGCTGTTGACCCGCTGTCTGCCCAACAGCTTTGTTTCCCAGGACCTCTGTGGAAACTCGAGTCGTGCTACTTTTCGTCTCCTAAATCCTTTTGATCGTCTCCTATTTAATGGATTTCGTCTCCTAAAAATAGGAGACGAACGGACGTCTCCTAAATCTTTTTCTCCTCTTAAAACGTCTCCTTCCTATTTTCAACGGATCGTCTCCTATTCTCAACGGATCGTCTCCTAAGTATACCATGTAAACTGTATGTATCGTCTCCTAAATCTTTCGGATCATTCCTATTTCGAAATTTTCGTCTCCTAATTGGAATGTCTCCTACTGAATTGTCTCCTAAATATTGGAGACGATTGCTTTCGTCTCTTAATCATTTCGATCGTCTCCTATCTCCTCGGTGTATCGTCTCTAAGTATTTTGCCACGAATGACGTTTCCACAGAGGTCCAGTTGCAAGCTTGAGGTCAGATATTCTGCAAGCCGCCACGCAGTCGGAGTATTCCCAATGGGCAGGACAGCCCTTTAGTTCCCCATTCAAGTCCGAACTTGGTTAGTCGAGTCCATACTGATGAGGGCGTTGGCTTGATGACTTGAGGACCCTCAAATGCATATTCTGACAACGCGTTGCTACTGCCAATGCAAACAAAACTCAGTACTCATTCTCTCACCTGGATGAATCCTTGCAAATGCAACGGGCCATCGCCATGAAATACTAGGGGAGCAGAAATAAATAGCTTCCGAACCTACCTACCTGTACTACACCAGTATTGAAACATTGATTGCTGTACATGTTTGTTTTCCTGCTGCAAGCTTGAGCCTTACTACTCCGGCTAGGTTGGTTGTTGGGGTCAATTTTGCACTTTGGGTCTTGCTATTCATCTCAGATACTTAACGTACTGTAGGGGCTTCTAGATTATGTCATTCTTCCACATTTGAGCCTCTTCCAAAGAAAAAAGTTGAAACAGGTGACTACCAGTCTAGGTACATGTAGTATTCCCGCAACTTCATTGTTGTCTGTTGTCCACGCAGACCTGTAAGTTTTGGTGCGTCTCTCTTCGGGACAACTCAAAAGCATGACTGCTTCGTCGCCGTGAATGCTGGGGGCTACCGTATGCTGGGCGAACCATCCAATTTTAAAAATAATGACAGAAGAGACATGCAAAAGGGGGCAAATGAGAAATGGGGATCAGCAAGGTAGACTAGTAGCTCTAGCTAGCTAGCTAGGAACGGTAATACTTTTACAGTACGACGGTACAGATTGCAATTTTGATGATTTCAATTGGGGGTCTTTTTTTGGGGGGGGGGCACGCAAGATGTCCTACATACTTCGTAGCAAGAACGTGACTAAGCTTTCAGCTAGTTGTTCCCAAAGGATTACCATTCATATTATCATCACAGCACCATGAGAAGGCAGTCAGACAGCGCCACTACTAGTGGTAGGAAGCCGAGACGTTGGTCGTTGCAGGGTCCCAACTTGAGGGGGGTCAGCTCCAAATCCTGGAGCAGTAGGTCGGACAGAAGGTTTGGTCTGGATGGCAGCTTCAATTCTCGGCGAAGTAGCGGCACGGGGAGCACAAGAAGCAGCAGTGGCAGGAATCTCTCCTTTTCTTCAGACCACCATTCGAGATGGTTTGATGATCCAAACTCGGGTTCCCCTAACGCCAGGGAAATTTTGAGATCCAGCAATAATCTGTCAGTCGAAGCAAAAGAGAAACTGGAGACCTTGACCGACCTTCGATTTTCGGAAACCAAGTTGTATGGAAGGGAAGCAGAAATCGCCGTGCTTCGGGCCGCCTATAGACGAGCGGCGTCTCCCAGTGTGAATCAGAAGGAAAAGCAAAGTGCAGGTCCCGCCGCAGCTGGCAATGGTCCACAAGTTGTCCTGATTGGTGGCCCCTCTGGAACTGGCAAAACGGCTCTGGCTCGACAGCTAGCTTGCACGGGCAAATTGTTTCAAGGAAAGTTTGATTTTAACCACAATACGCCATATGCGGCACTGATTCATGCATACGACAGTCTGTGCAAATACATCGTCGACCAAGTCAGTGACGTGGACCAGGAGACTCTAAAGGCGGAGATTTGGAACGCCTTTGGCAGAAGCAACAGGAAAGGACAACCCGCACAACCCGAGTACAATGCTGTCGTTGAAATGATACCATCATTGCATCAACTGTTGAGTGACAGTAATGCCAACGAGTACGATCAAACTGCGACAGCAGTCAACAGCCGCACCCCCGAATCCTCCTCCGCTCAGTCCAAGAATCGTCTCGTGTTCATGTTCCGGGCGCTAACCAAAGTACTGTCAGAGTTTTTCAGACCTCTGGTATTAGTGATTGATGACCTTCAATGGGCGTCATCAAACGAGCTGGACTTGCTTTCGTCGTTGGTCACCGACTCTGCCAACTCCAATCTACTTTTCATTGGCACCTTTCGTGATAACGAGGTCGCTCCAAATTCCACTGTTGCTTCATGGCTGGACAACCTCAGGTCCAAGAAGAAGAATGATGCTGGGCAGCAGCACAGCATTAACCTGGAGGAGATATGCTTGGATAATTTGTTGCTGGAGAGTGTCAACGGCGTCATCAGTGGTGTGCTTCGAACCGAGCCAGAGCACACCCTCACACTGGCAAATACAGTGACACATAAGACTGGTGGAAACCCATTCTACGTCATCCAGTTTGTGACAACATTGCGGGATATGGGTTTGCTTGACTACAATCTTGGCACCATGAAGTGGCAGTGGCGGGAAGAAGAAGTTAACAAGATGTTTGTAACAGATAACTTGACGGAGATATTGACCCTGAAAATGAGGCATTTGGACCCCCACTGCCAGTTTGTGTGTCAACTTGCTGCCTGTCTGGGAGCCAGTTTTGACAAAGCTCTTTTGATACTTGCAGCGAAATCCTTGTGGGAGGAAGCAAGCTTCGATGCTGATGCTGATGTTGAAATAATGCCTACAAAAGCTCCTGAGATAGTAGTACAGGGGAGTCTTGAGAAGCTCCTGACAGAGAGAATCCTTGATCAAGGTTCGACAAAAACTGAGCTTCAGTTTGCCCATGATCAAATCCAGCAATCTGCAACATCTTTGATTCCTGATTCATGCCATAGCAGATGGATTTCAACTATTGGTACTGCCATGCTGGATGATCCCGACCTCATGGGAAAAGGTGACCAAATGCTCTTTCTCGCTGCAGATTTGTGCAATTCTGCTGGAGTACCAAACAATGATGTGAGCCCTGAGCTGCACCAGAGGCTGATGATGCTCAACTGGAAAGCTGGCAACAGGGCTATGGTCTCCTCAGCTTTCAATGCTGCAGCCAGATACTTTGAGTCAGGAATAAGCCACCTGAAGAAAAGCAGCTGGTCTGAAGACTATACGGTTCCTCTTGCTCTGCACACTTCAGCAGCAGAGGCCGAAAATTGCAATGGAAATTTTGCGAGAGTGGACTATTATACTGCACAGATCCTAGAACAAGACATTCCATTTGATACCAAACTCAGGCCTCTTGTTTCATTGATTACATCCCTGACTATCAGGGGAAACTACTCTGAAAGCATTGCTATTGGCTTGGATGCTCTCAATCAGGCTGGCATGAAGATGCCATCCAAGGCCAGCACTATTGGTGTTCTAACTGATTTGATCAAGACCAGGCTTGCCACGCAGTCCATGCATTCAGAAAAACTGGCAAATCTACCCATATCACACGAAGAAACTAGAATCTATGTGGAACGAATCATTGACAAACTGAGCACAGCTACTTATGCGAGCCAACCAGAGTACTTCCCCTTCTTGCCACTTCGACATGTCCAGATGTGCATCAAGAAGGGAGTCAGCATTTCTTCTCCAGTTGCCTTTGCCACTTATGCAGTTATTCTGTGTGGAATGCTTGGGGCCTTGCAGGAAGGCTACAGGCAAGGTACCATTGCAATGGCCATGATGAAACATATTCCGGACAGATCTTGTGAATCCAGGATGACATTTCTTTTCCATGGAGTTGTTGCCCACTGGGTAACCCCCACCCACACAAATATCAAGCCTTTGCAAGATGGATACAACATTGGAATGCAGATTGGAGATGTGGAGTCAGCCATGTACAATTTGTTCCACATTGCGTCAAGCTCTTGGACATGCGGAAAGAACCTCGCCTCTGTGGAAGCAGCAGCCAGGCATGCATGCATGCTGATGGATGAGTACAGCCAAAAGCTGAACTGGGAAATAACAACACTGTTGTGGCAGCAAGCCCTGAATCTCATGGGCCAGACCGACAATCCTCTTGTACTTGATGGGGTAGCCGCAAGAGAAGAAAACCTGCTAAAGAGCGCCAAAGAAAGTGGCAATGCAATGCTTTCTAGCTTGGTCTATAGCCTCAAAATGCAGCTCACCTACTACATGGGCACACCAGAAATGATGGAAGATCTCTTCTTCAAGTCGCTGAATCGAGCAACCGATTTCATGTCATTGGTGTACCATCCAAGACAAGTTTTCTTTGAGGGCCTGGTGGCTTTTTCGCTGGCAGGGCATTCCCAAAAAGTGGGAAAGCGAAGGAAATTTGCAAAACTTGCCCACAAGGCAAAGAATCAGATTCAATCATGGGCCAAGGCAGGAAATGTGAATCTTACCCATGCAGCGGTATTGCTGGATGCAGAAGGGGATGTCTGTAAGGGGAAACGGGAAAGGGCGAAGAGGAAATATGAGAATGCAATCTCATTGGCCAGCAGAAGTGGTTATCAGCATGATTGTGCTCTGGCCCATGAGAGAGCTGCACTCAATTTCTTGGAGCTCCGAGATGAATACTGGGCATCGCACCACATGTCCAATGCTCAATCCAAATACTTGCAGTGGGGTGCAAGTGCAAAGGCTTCTCATCTCTTTGAAGAATATGATTATCTCTGTTCCGCCGAGAAGAGGGAGGAGACCACACATTCACATTCGTTTGTAAGCCTCTAAAACAACTGTCGATACTAGCAGCTGTCTGTTCCGTACCGGTACGGTACGGTACCATAGTCTCGTTGGTTATCAAATCCGGAGGAGCCAGCTTGCGGTGCATGAGAAACGCACCCCTCCGGTCTAAATACTTTGACAGCTTCCTGGCTTACAAAACGATCTTTCGTTGATGGCGCCTTCGCTCTCGGTTCTTCCCTCGCTCGGACAACAGCATTGCATTTTGCATTTCCCATGAACCTTGACGGGGCCTACCGGTACCAGCTAGAGTATTGGGTTATTCGCTAGGAAGACGCATTCCGGTAGTCGGTCAAGCTTAGGAGAAGAGAAGGGAGAAGGAATGATGAGGTTGAGTTCACGATCCTTCTCTGTCTTGTTCTTGCTCTTTCTAGAGACTCGGACGGGCGTCGCCTTGTCTTCGGTAGAGGTACCTCCCTTTCGCATTGGAGCCCGACCCTCTCGACTGGCACAAATCCAAGCTCAAGCCGTCTTGCAGGAACTGTCTAGAAATCATGGTGTAGAAGCAAGGATTGTCAAGATCCAAGCCGATGGTGACCATGTCAACCCCGCCAAGGCAGGAATTCAAACGGTTCCGCTGGCAGCCCGATCCGTGGATTTTACGGGGGCCCTCGACGACGCCTTGTTGTCTCATGAAATTGATATAGCAGTGCACAGTCTCAAGGACATTCCACCCACGGCAAGATGGAACCCACAATTGACTATTGCAGGCCATTTAAAGAGACAAGATCCCAGGGATGTATTGGTTGGACCATATCCCTCCATTCAAAGTTTACCTCAACGAGCTAAAGTTGGTACTAGCTCTGCGAGACGACAAGCGCAATTGCGAGCCATGCGACCGGACTTGGAGCTTCAAAATGTTCGAGGAAACGTCGAAACAAGGCTCAGGTCCTTGAAACAACAACCAACTCAGAACAAATATGATGATGATGACGATCAATCGGTGGATGCTCTCATCTTGGCACAGTCAGGGCTGAATCGGTTGCTAAAGAATGACAGCAGCATCGATTGGATAAACGAACCATCCTCCAAAGAATCAGAGGGGAGTTGGCACCGTCCCGTATCCACAGACGAAATGCTTTCGGGTGCCTGTCAGGGTATTGTGGCAGTGGTTTGTCGCGCCAATGATGCTGCCACCATGGAATGGATCCAACCCATCAACGACGTAGACTCCGCCATTGCCGCCGCTGCAGAGCGCGCCTTTTTGGATACGTTAGATTCCTTCTCGCCCTGGGTCGGCAGACCACCTTTGGCAAGCCTTATGGAACGAGAACGACGCGAGAAGGAACACTCTTGGGTCTTTCAAGGACTATTGGCACGGCCGGATGGTACAAAGGTAATCCGAAGAGTGGAACGGTGCACAATCACCGAGTCAACCTCCGAGGAGGTGGCCCGTGGTGTGGGGCAATCAGTTGCAGAACAGATACTGGAGGAAGCTGGACCTGATTTCTACAAGTAGCAAAAAAAGCAAAGTATCACAACGTGGGGGAAGCAGCTAATTGTACATTGCGCACGGTACCATATCGGATAAAGAAATCTAAAGAAAGTTAGTAACTATCTAGTTATGAACATAACCGAGTGATCGTCGCCAACATCAGCACAAACGTTGTACTGGTCGGCTTAGCTAACCCAACTCTTCGGCATTGTCATATTGTTGATAAGAAGGCACTCGTGATCGCAATACTTGCCAGGCATCATCGTTAAAGACTTCACCCGCAAAGGGCTCTGGTGCTCGTCCATTACAAATCTTTTTCAACTCTTGTTGTTTCCCCATGACATCTCCTCGCACGCAATTCTTGGTATGCCATTCTTCTTTGGACAGGTACTTGTAATGATGTAGCGCGGCAACGTCCAACGTTCCCTCTTCGTGTACCATGATCTTCCATCCCCTATTGTTGACTGGTTGTCCATTGGCCGAAAACCATTTGCGACGGGGTGCCAGTTTAAAGGTATGTGACCAACGAAAGTGTTTCTCTTTCAGGGCGACCGCCCATGGATCCACAATGGACTTGACAGTGTTTTGAAACCGCCCATATTGGAAGCGTCTCGTGACGGGGACATTGACATAGTCGGTCCGATTGCTGCTGCCCATGGTGAACCAGTTGATGGAGATTTGTCCACAAGAAGAACCATTGTGTTGTTGGCGAGCAGAACACGTGTCTCTCATAAAGTCCAGGACATTGTCGTGTTGATGGAGTACCAGAAACTCATCCACATCAAAGGTTGCCAACCAGGTAATCTTGTCGGCGCGCGCTTGTTCGACGCAGTGCTTGTATCCGTATTGTTGCTGTTTTTGGGCCTCTCCTGCGTCAGTGATGTTGTTGACAACGTTGGGAATGAACTGTTCGATCCGTAGTTTGTCTCTTTGGTAGGTCCAGTTGTGCAAGCTGAATTCTGGAGAGTTGTCCAAGACATGAATGTCGGTAAAGCCAATGGCAAAGTTGTAGTCCAGCCATTCCTTCAGATACCGCTCGGCATGTTTGACCATCAAGCAAATCCGAGCCGTTTCCTTTTTCTTTTTGGTAGCAATTCCACCTTGGGTATCAACATCACGTTGCTTCCCCTTGTTGGCTGTGGTGGTAGTGGTAACCTTCTCACCATCAAGTTGCTGCCCCTCGCTGAGTGCTGTGGTAGTGGTGGTAACATTGTGGTTGTTATCACCCATTCGTCTTGCCGATTTCAGCATGAGACTCCAATAGCTTTGGTTGGAAAGATTAAAGACGGTCGCGACCAGGGCGAAAAAGGCGATGGCCGCTCTGACGGTGGAATTGGGCAGTCTTGACGACTTGCCCCTTCTTCTGATGGTGGCAGTAGTCGCCGACGAAACATCCGAGACAAGAGTGTCCGTGCTGATATCCAAGCTGCTGAAGCTTTCACCAAAGCTGGAGGTGCTGTCGCCCAAGCTTTCGTTCCTCGATAACAACTCTCTTGCTGTTGTAGACTTCATTTGCTGTTTGTTGTTGGTTGGTTGTTTTATGGCAACATCAAGTGAAACAGTGAAACAAGTGTTTGTTGTTTTGCGTGAACTTGGTTCTTGCGTTGCCAAAAACTGCAGCTTCCGTGGACCTGGCCGTTTGGTAAGTTGCTGGGTATCTACCGCGATTAAGACAGCCCTCTCAGTCAATGACACTTTGTACTGAAATCACTACAGTGTGAAGGCCCTACCAATTTCTAAGCGTTATGGCATTCCCACATCGACTTTGGTCAGCCTACGATTACTTCCCACTTCCCTCCCAAGTCCCAAGACCTACAACAGACCGCTTTCCAGAAGAGCAAACATTGTTGATACCGCTTTGTGTTCATGTTGAACAAGCGCTGTGACAGCCTGTGAGATTCGCTTCAGGTTGACCAGCGTTTTGAGTAGAATAGAGCCAGCTTTGAATTATTTTTTATACCCAAAGAGGCTAAGGAGGAGCTTTGAATCATTGATTGAATCGAATCAAGCAGAGAAAAAGACTTCCAAATCCTTGGACCAGGCTTCCAAATCCTTGACCGTACCGGTACTAGTACGAAAGGATTAGACTAGGAGGACAACCGCCGGACTTCATGGATACTGTGGCCAGCAGAGCTGTTACAATTCGTGTGGTATTTTTGTCATGATGACACTTTCCGATGACTGGACGAAAATGTTGGACTAAACCCTCTATAGTGGAACAAAATGGAAAGACCCTGAACTGGCGGATACTGGTATACGCCTACTCACACGTAGAGTCTGTACCAGGGGTCATACGAGTACCGCAGTACACGTGTACACAAAGCATCCACTACTTCATTCGGCACAACTTTTTGACAACCATCAACAACCACAGTCAACAACATGTGTTTTGGCTCGGAAGCGCTGAAGCAGGACCACTCCAATCGAACTGGTGGAGGCAAGAGCCAATCGGAAGTGTACGGTGGCATCATCGACATGATTGAATGCATCACTGTAGTTACAAACCCATAATCTCCCTCCCCCAGAAACTACCGACAGGAAATACACTGAAACCACCATGACGACGGAAATTTTGGACGTGATTGTAATCGGCGCAGGAGCTGCAGGACTAACCGCAGCCTACGACATTCACCATGATACCAGCTTCACCTACAAGATTCTGGAAGCATCAGACGGTAAGTACAATTGCACTTGGATCAATGTGCACAAGTTGTCATTGGCATGCACCCTTCCTCTCATCTCATCATGGCGTGTTTGTTGTTTGTTCACGACGACAGTCATTGGAGGGCGTCTGCAAAAGCTCGAAGGCTTTGCTGATTTTCCAATCGATATTGGTGGCGAATGGATTCATGTACCTCCCAGCATCTTGGATGAGATTTACAATGACCCCAACGAGAATCCAACAGACACCATTGAGACAGTGCAATATATACAAACCTACGAGGAATGGGAGGACGAAGAATGGAATACATATGACTTGTGGAACACCGATTACAAGTTCAAAAATTACACTTGGTTTGACTTTTTCAATGATTGGATGGCACCCGGATTGGATGTCGAGCTCAACTGTACCGTTGATGCCATTGATTGGTCCTCCACTCCTGTGCAACTGAGTTGCGAAAATGGAAAACAATGGGCTGCCAAGCATGTCATTGTCACATCCTCTGTCAAAGTGCTCCAAGATCACGATCTTGGCTTTTCTCCATCGTTGCCACAAGACACACAGGAAGCAATCGATGAGCACTACATGCTGCCTGGGTTAAAGGTATTCATGAAATTCCAACGGCGGTTCTACAAGGAGGCATTTACCTTTGTGGAAGACCATGAGGACAATGAGATCCCTGAAAGTGACAAGTACTACTACGCTGCTACTTTTGGGCAAGATTCAAATGACAATGTTCTAGGCATGTTTGCGGCTGGAGAACCTGCCGAATTCTTTATCGGAATGACGGACAACCAAATCATTGGCAACCTCTTGGAACAGTTGGATGATGCCTATGATGGTGCAGCCTCCAACAACTTTATTGAAGGCTTTGTCCAAGATTGGACCAATTCGACGTTTGTCAAGGGGGTCTACACATATCTCAATGATGATTGGGATTCTCTTGGATCAATCCCAACAATGCGCCAACCATTGAAGGATCGTGTCTTCCTGGCTGGAGAGGCAGTGCCAGCTGACAACTATGAGTGGGGCTTTGCCCATGAGGCTGCCTTGTCGGGACGTTTTGCTGCAGAGAGAGTTGTTGAGCTTCTTGATGATTGAGAGGGCACATAATGATGCTTGTACCAGAGGTACCTTACTGTCGAACTGCAATTTTCGTACCGTAGGATGCTATTGCGAGGAACTACGGTACTACTGGTGCCAGTAGCTAGAAAACAAGATAATGTGCTGTAATGGCGCTTTCAGTAACCTGCTGTAGTTGTTCCAATCTTCTAGTGTATGGGTAGCATCATTCAAGGTTGGGCACTAAGCTGGGAAGACTTGGAAAGCGCACCTTGCTTGGTCTTGGCTCAGCCTCAATTGGCAGCTTGGTCATCCTTCCCTCCACCAACGGTCCCAACCAACACCCAAACGCTTTGCTGGCTCGTACGCGGAACTACCTAAGAAAACAAACTTACTTGGAACGATTGAAAACTTTTGACAACAATCGAGTTGTGTGATTGTGCTGCCACTTCTGTCCTTGAGAGAGTACCATACCGGTACCAGCAAGGCTAGCAAAATGGCGGCCCAAAGTGTGGATGTGTTGATTGTCGGGGCCGGAGCTGCTGGCTTGACTGCTGCCTATGATTTGCACTTCGATACAACTCACACGTACAAGATTCTGGAGGCGTCTTCGGGTGCGTAATCGAGTACGGTACCGTCGTTTGTGTCGCATCCATTCAATAGACTTCTCACCAATGCTTTGCAGTTGTCGGTGGCCGCCTGAAGAAAATGCCCCCAGGATTTGCAGGTACGAGTATCCCAGGAGCAGGTTGTCTCTGACCAGCTTCCCTCTAGCTAGTCTCATGCATCTCACATACATGTCATGACTTCAACTACTAGACTTCCCTATTGATATTGGTGGTGAATGGATACACGCGGAACCCTCCATTCTGGATAAAATATACGCTGATGCCAATGAAAACCCTACCGATTCCATTAAAACAATTCCATATGTGGACTCATATGACGAATATGTTGGAGGAGAGTGGGTTGCTAACGAATTTCCTACTGAAGACTACAAGTTTGTGAACTATACATGGTGCGTTCGCCAGAGAATTACATGCAGAATAACTGCCCGAACTGCTTGCTGATTCTCGTTGCCTGCATCAATTCAAACCTTTTAAAAGGTTTGATTTCATCAATGACTGGATTGCAGTTGATGTGAAGGATAACATTGAGTTCGGTTGCCAAGTGAATTCTATTGATTGGTCTAACACTCCTGTGGAACTAAGCTGTGCGGATGGAAAGCAGTGGACTGCCAAGCATGTCATTGTGACAGCCTCAATGAAAGTGTTGCAAGACAATGATATTGCATTTTCCCCTTCATTGCCTGATAGAACCAAAGCTGCAATTGATGAGTACTACTTCATGCCTGGTCTAAAGGTCTTCATGACATTTAAGGAACGATTCTACCGTGAAGCCTTCGAGTTCGCCAGCGACTACCAAAATGTTGATGTTTTTGGATCCCGGTATTTCTATTCTGTGTCATATGGTCAAACCACCAAAGACAATGTCTTGGGTATCTTTGCTGTGGGTGAAGCTGCTGACAGGTTCATTACCATGACGGACCAGGAACTTTTCGACGATATACTGCAACAATTGGATGGTGTCTATGATGGCCAGGCAACCCCTAACTTTGAAACTGGCTTTGTTCAGAATTGGAGCAATGAAATGTTTGTCAAGGGTGCCTACACTTATCTCAATGACGACGATGGAGCTCTGGATTCTGTGCATGTGTTGAGAGAATCTCTGGACGACAAAATATTTTTTGCGGGGGAAGCAGTCCCACCCAACAACTATGAGTATGGCTTTGCCCATGAAGCTGCCTTTTCTGGCAGAGCGGCAGTCAACAAGATCACGCCTCTCCTTTCTGGTCGTACTCCGGTTCCAGGAAAAACGCTGGACGAAACAACTCCTCCTTCGTCATCCCTTGCTCTCCGGTTTGACTGGGCCATTTGTTTTGGAGTCGTCGTCTTACTCTTTGTAAGCTAAACTATTATAGTCACTCCAAGCTAGTCTAATCGGGGTTATGGAGTTGTATGATGTTCTCGTCGCCTGTAATTCTGCGATGGGCTCGATTAAAACATTCGCTCCTAAATCACAATGGCAGCGCAAATTGCAGGTCTAGTGCAGATACACAATGTTGATTGTTGATGCATGTGATTCCACTTGTATATGCTGCAGTCTTCTTGGTCCAATTGTCCGATGTTGATTGCTGTCCATTGTTCAGGTGTATTGACTATTGATTGGTCAGGTGTATTGATGCAACGTTGCCGAGCACCGATAGCTAGATGCTAGCTACGTAGAACTCTAGAGGACTCCAGATCCAACCACCTTGGGCGGTCCTTTTGTTTGTCGTGCCATTGCATGCAGTGTTTCCGTAGATTCAGGGTCCAACCACCCCAAAACAGCGCTATTGAGGAGCAAGCGTTCCCTCCATTCCGGTGGGGACTCTCCCACTCGCACAATCGCCAGACCCGTAGATCCCCTGCCGGGTCCTACCAGAGGCACCGTTAGCACGACCGTTCTGTCTTCTCCATCAACGATTTGTTTGGGGACTTCATTGTCATAATTCAATCCATAGTATTGTCCTCCATAGACGGAATGCAAGCAATTCCTCATATTTTCTGGATCGGTAATGCGTTCTTCGGCTCGTCCCACGGCATTCCTCCCTCTCCCATTGAGTGTGTGCCCCCATCGGTACTGGGCAAATCCTTCGACAAACTGAGGCGAGTGCTGGAATTCACAGCCAATGTATTTGACGCGTGGGTCGACGGACGCCATGGCTTGGGTGCAGAGTTTCATAATGTTGTCGGTGTGCAGTGGTAGCAAGTTGACATTGGGGATTTCAAATTCGAGACGTCCAATGGCTTCTCCTGCCACTTCCATGTCCAAGTAAATGCGAGCACCATTGGCAATACCATCTTCGGTACTGTCGGGTTGGGTCTCTTTGGCCGTTTCCTGAAGAAGAAACCCGCCAAATCGACCACTTTGACTTATTGGAGGGAGAGCAACGAAGCTCTGGACACCAACCAGTGCTTGCAGCAGTGCAACTGCAATATTCAGAATGCGTGCAATTCTATTCGTCATCTTGCTTGTGTCTTCGTCAAGTTGTGCTGTACCACTATAGTACCTCTGGTGTACGGTAGTCTAGGTCCTTCCACTCTGTATATATATATAGATTACTATGGACTGTTGTCTGCTTAGGGTATGCCATCGTTGCGATATCCTGTGTGGGGCTCTTCTGCAAAAGATGAGCCTGACGTCACTCATACCGATACGGCTAAGGTTTTGGTGCGTCTAAGCATCTTTGCAGGCTTTGAAGCTTTGAATTTCTCGCAACTCGTGACAAAATAGCATTAGAGGCAGTTACCTACTATCTAGTAAGAGTACTAAACTGTGACATTACCGTTAAGAGATGCTGAAGAAGAAAAAGGAGGATACTAATGCTTTTTTCATTCACTATTGCGTAAATCGGTTGAATTATCGTGAAACTCTAGCTTGGAGTCCTCATACTTAAATCCTTGAGTCGTTGAAACTGACTCTGAGTTGCTCACTTTTTCGCTTGGTGGATGCATTGGACCCACTGCCAAGAAGTGGTTGCTGTCCGCGTTTTAGCTTTCTCTCCATCCCTCTGCTACATGTAATTAATTGTATGGATCATCATGAAGCTCTTTGCAATCCTTTGCTTCCAGTTGATTGTCAGTGCCTCGGCGTCTCTCTTGCGGTTGCTCGATAAGGAAGACGGCAATGGCAATCATCGGTTTCTTGGAGGGAGCTCCACCTGTCCCGGCCAAGACAATCCCTCGTCGTGGTGCTTGTATATCGGGGACTATTCGAAGCCAATTGGCGGTCAAACCTGCTACAACGATTACGATGTTGATTGCTATTGTGACACAGGCTACATCATGAGAAGCGTAAGCTATGCCAGTGGTGTACGTTGTTGCTCGGATAGCAGTGGATCGGGCGGAGACGATGGAACGGATCATTGTCGCCGGTACAGTGCAGTAGCCACCAAACGAAACTATCGAACGTGCTTTGACAACTGGGACGACTGCGACTGTCCTTCGGGATATGACTATTCGAGTTCGCGCAAAACCTGCTGTGCGCAACACGGGAACTTTGATACGCATTGTCAGCTCTTTTATGGGCCGCATGCCCAAGCCCAAAATGTCTATTGTCCCTGTCACGAGGACGAACAGTTTTGCGAGTGCAAGCCTGGATTCCACCTCGACAACAACTATTGTGTACCCATGCCCACTGCTACCAATGAACCAAAGACATTTGGAGATCCACACATTGTCACTTGGCACAATCATGAATTTGAATGTAAGTTAGTTGGTTCAGCACGGTACATGTACTGTTATGCAGTGTTCATCAGCCATTTTGCTAAGCCTATTCTTGTGCCTTTTGTAAACACACAGACCATGGAGAATGCGATCTCTTGATGCTCCATGCACCGACCATCGGCATGGACGTCCACGTTCGAACAACAATCCGCTATGACTACTCGTTCATCAGCCAGGCAGCTGTCCGTATAGGCCAAGATGTCTTTGAAGTTGTCTCTTACGGAGAATACATGCTGAATAGCATTGACCTGGTGGATTTGCCCGCCAAAATGGGAGGAAACTATGTCATCACCAAACCCCCTATGAAAGACAAGCGCAAAATCAAGTACTTGATCACCAAGGAGAACGGAGGTGTCAACATTGAATTCATGACCTTCAAGGACTATGTCTCGGTCAAGATTCACAATGGCACCAAGGCAGAGTTTGACGATGCCACCGGAATGATGGGACACTACGAGACGGGGGATATGGTGGCCCGGGACGGATACACTTCCATGGATGATCCCGCTCTCTATGGACAAGAATGGCAAGTCCGACCAGAACGTGATGGACAACTCTTTAGTTTGGCACGGGAACCGCAGTATCCCCACCAGTGTCGACTTCCGTCGCCCAATGCCGTCCAGGCTCGTGCACGAAGGCTGGGAGAGGTGGCCATTTCCAAAGAGGCCGCGGAAGCAGCCTGCAGTGCGGTTTCTGAGAGCATGAGGCCGCCTTGTATCAAGGATGTCTTGAAGACTCAAGACCTGGATATTGCAGAGATATACTAAGTTAGTTAAGATCGAGAGCACCACATAGATATACCAGAAGCTTTATACAGTTCATTCAAAAACAATCATTGTTTTGCTGCTGTTGCTTCCTAACCTTTGCTCTATACTATCGAGAGGAGGACTGTCAAGTCCGACTTGACAGGCAGCTTGCTAGGATCCCACCTGCCATACATTCCTATATCGGCGACATTAAGCAAGCAAAGATCTCATTTAAGCACTTCAGCAGTGGCAGTTTTAGTTAGCTAGCAAGGCAAGAATAGCTCAGGATTCTGGTTCTGCAAAGGAACTCCAAAAGAAACCCAGTATTAAGAGCGCGAGAACAATCGAAATCCCAGAACATTGTGCTTGGCTGAGTGGGAGTTGTTTGAAGATTGGAATCGAATCATTGGAAACTGGACCAGGGCACTGACCCCTCCCCCGCCGACAAGGTGTCTTACAACGACGCCATTGTTGACATCGTCCTCATTGTTTTCAGGGCCCAGCCATCCTTACTGCTTTACTGATTGATTCTGGATTCTGTTGAGAGGTGGTACCGCCAAGCACGTCCTGTCCCTTTGATTCCTTCCTTCTAGGTTTTGGCTGGCTCTAGCCATCTGCTATGCTAGCCAGATAGCTGAATATCTGCAGCTTCTTGTCAATCTGTACTTCTTTTTCTTTGCTTTATGCCTTATATTCCGTACTCCCGTGGCTTTTGCAAGTTTGGCTGGATGTCTTTTGTGCGGTTGCGTTGTTGCGTTGCATTCTGCTGTTGGTTATTACCTGGTACAGACTCATGAGTAGATCTAGCAACACCTAGCTAGCTACCGGTAGACTACATGTACATGACTACAATGTCATGTCATGTACCACACCTCCACACCTTATTGCGAGACCGTCACTTTGCTTGGATATGGTACCATAGTTTTTGGTCGCGCCATGTTCTTTGTTTGACCTTTTGGATTTTGGCCATTTGGATGACATATTATTATGACTTGGGAGAACAATCTTGGCCCCTGGCCATAGTCTATTTAATTGATTTATCAGAATCTACAACATAAGCCACTGTAGGTGGCCATCTGAAGCCTCATCTGTGAGGTGGTTTTCCACGGTCCATGGAGTGTTAATTTTAAAACTGTGCTACTGTACAGTATTTAGAAGTGGTTGGCGCTAAAACGCGACTACTGTGTGTGAATGAAGCCTGAATTCAATCGCATTATTGGGGTCATTCAAGGCATCGACTTGATGACGGAGGGTTGCAGGTTCTTTTTGTTCGTTGGTGGCTGGTCGATGGTCGCTCGATTGTTTCCCCTTTAGAAGTCAAGTCTACAATGGATAGTGAGATGCTACCTGAACCGGTACTAGCACCTGTAGGTGCCCACCTACAGGCATTTCACTCGTTTCTCACTTCTCCCTTTTGGTAAAGCTCGAACCGCGGCTGTGTCTTGCATAATAATATTCCTTCAGCACAGGCAATCAATCCAAACATCCAAACTTCCAAACATCCAATCTTCCAAACATCCAAACTTCTTCTAAAGTCGAAAAGCCTTCTTCTATACTGTCACCATGGCCCAAGAGAATGTTGGAGTGGCGTTTGCTCTGGTGATCTTTGCCGGAGCTTCTACCGCGATTGGTTCGTCGGTGGTCTTTTTTCCCTCTTTGGTCAAGTACGCTTCCAAGAGGACCTTGGCGGCGGGGTTGGGATTGAGTGCGGGTGTCATGGTAAGGAAGCTGTGGTGTGTGTTGTAGGAGATAGACAATATGTCTGTTGCTCACTCCATTTACTTCTTTTGTTTTGTGTTGACAGATCTACGTTTCCTTTGTGGAGATTTTCCAGAAATCGGTGATTGGTTTCATCGATGCCGGGAACAATCCTGACACGGCGTATGTCTATGCCACTCTGTGTTTCTTCACGGGCATTTTCCTCATGACAGTCATGAACTTTGTCGTTCATCAGTTACTCCTGGGCGCCACGCATCACAGTCACAACCATCATCATCATCATCACAGCAAGGACCATCATAGCGACGATGAGGAATCGGATGGCGACGACGATGGATCGGAAGACAACGACCGGGTGGGAGATATGCAGCCCATTTGCTGTGTCAAGCCAGAACAGATTGACCGATTTCAAGAAATGGGGGCGGCACTCGAGGAAGAAGAACATCATCATCATCATGACAACAGCCACAAAGACGACAGCCACAAAGACAAAGACACTAACGACAAAAACAACAACCAACTGCGCTCGAGTCAACTCTCCCAAACACGAGATGATGACGACGACGACGACGACTTGGACTCGTCCGATCAATTCAACGCCGAAGAAACCACCACCGAACACTCCAAGAAACAGGAGTTGTCCGAAGAAGAAACAGCACGGTTGAACCGCATGAGTCTCAATACAGCCATTGCCATTGCCATGCACAACTTTCCAGAAGGACTCGCCACCTTTGTCGCCGCCTTGGCTGATCCCAGGGTTGGGCTCGTCTTGGCCATTGCCATTGCCATTCATAATGTACCAGAAGGTGAGTCATTGAGTCGTTTCTTATTTACGTACTTATTTATTTGATTTTGCATGCCCCAACCATCGATCGAGGTTGCCACTGTCTCTTGCCACTCACCCACCGTATCCCTGCTCGCTCCATTTAACTTTTCTATCCTCCCATCCAAACCATCCATGCATCAATCTACTTTCTTTTGTCACCCAATATCTATATACTATAATATCCCAGGACTCTGCGTCAGTCTCCCCGTCTACTATGCCACGGGAAATCGGTGTCGGGCATTTGCATGGGGATGTCTCTCGGGAATATCTGAACCCATTGCGGCTATTTTTGGATGGGCCGTACTGGCAAATTCGTTTTCGGATGAACTTTATGGGGTCCTCTTTGGAATGGTTTCGGGAATGATGGTCATTATTTCGGCCAAGGAATTGTTGCCCACGGCACATCGATATGACAGTGATGATTCACTCGTTACCAATGCCTTTATTATTGGGTACGTAAATAATGACAAAAGTGGCGAGTCCTTCCTTTCAACGTTGCCTTTTTGTTCTAACACTTACTTGTCTACTTTACTCTGCTCATTGACAACTCTATTCAGAATGGCAATCATGGCACTTTCTCTGGTCTTGTTTCTGTTATAAGAAATGCTCTTTTCCTCTGTCTAGAAAAGACTCATGGCGAGCAACTTTTTTGCTGCGGCATGCCCTCATCACCATGCGCCACCAGGCTACTCACCTGTACTACTAATACACAGCACAAAGCAACACAACACTTATTGATTGTGGGAACAACAAAGTGGAACAAAGTAAGGAATATCCCATGCAGGGGAAACAATTTCCACATCTGGCAGAACGGATTGACTGATAGATCGTAATCATACAGACCGTTGTTGCCTCTTCAAGCTTTTGTTTTTGCCAGTGCGGTAGCAGTGATCACGTTAGAGGGCTTCAATCTACTGTACGAGTATAGTCACGGATGAAGTGGTGCTTCAACTTTTTGTCATTTGATGGAAACGGTTGTCCCGCAAGTGGCCGGATCGTTTCAGCTAGTCGCTTGTCCTCGTCTGGCTGTGCCCAACATTCACTACAGACAGATACAAACGTATTGTGTATGTGCATTTTTCCGTTACTAATGGGTTTATAAACACTAGGATGAAAGGTATGGGGGAAATCACGGAACAAAAAGGGCGAAATGGAAGGGGCATTCAGACAAACAAGCAAGTCATTCATCCACAACCTTTTTAAGGAAGGTTGAAGGCCTTGCTGGGTGTGTTGAATTGTGAGGCCATGGAAGGACGGGCCGCACCCGCGGCAGGCCTGTAGATCAAGCCATCGCTGACACCTTCGTGAGTCAAGCGAGTAAAGGCGCTGATCGTGCTGGCAAAAGCACCAGATGCATTCTCGGTAATCTCGATCGAGTGGCCCATATCGGACACGGGACGGGAAGCCTGTTGGTGCGCAATGTTTCGCAATCCCTTCTCCACGTGTTTGACGGTCTCGGACTTGGGTTTATCCACTTGCACGAGTTCATCGCTGTCAATGGTCTCTCCAGCATCGTCTTTGATAATCTTCTTGAAGATAACCTTGCCGAGGTCGATGAAGATGAAAATGATAATGTTGAAGATCCAGATCCAAAGAGTTGGTTCACCTTCCAATCCCTTGACCACAACTGCAATAATAGTGCCAATGGCGCAAGTGAGCAAGACAGAGGCAATCAAGAGAGGAGAAGGCATTGATTGCCAGAAGAACCTGGGTGCTCGAACCGAAAAGATGGCAAATTCTGTCACCAAGACCAAGTAGAGCCAGATGAATCCTTGGGTCTCGTCATTGCAGGTGTTGGTCAGGTCAATGGGGTGCGTGAGGATGTCGGTATGTCCAAGGACGAAGATGAAAATGAGACCAATCCCAGTGTGCATAAAGGAATAGTAAAGCGAAGACAAGACCAACTTTGAGGCATCAGGTAGCTGAGGATGCCTGGTAGCCTTGGCATTGTCATACGCCACGGGAATCATACTGATATCATTGAGGAGGGCGAGAATGATGACCAGCAAGGAATCCACAGCACAGCCAGTGGCAAACATGATGATGGAGAGATTCAGGACCAGGATAGCGGATGCGGCAACTCTGTAAACGACGTAGGCCTTGATGCGAGCAAAGATACGACGAGATTCGAGGACAGCTCCATAGATAGGACTGAGACCAGGTTCGGTGAGGATCAAGTCGGCAGCATTCTTGGCAGCATCAGTGGCACCTTCCACGGCAATACCAACTTGTGCAGCACTGAGAGCCGGGGCATCGTTGACTCCGTCTCCCGTCATTCCTGTGACCAATCCAAATGTGTTGCGAAGTGTGAGGACGACTTCACGTTTGTCACTGGGCAAGACAGAGGCAAATCCATCGGCGTCCCAGATGAGCTGATTCTTGGTTTCTTGGCTGTTGGCATCTCGAATATCTTGTCCAGCTTGGATGTTGGTACCCAAGCCGATGAGACGGGCGGTCTCCTTTCCAACATTGACGTGATCTCCGGTAATCATTTTCACACTAATGTTTGCTTGGTGGAGGGACTCGATGGTGTTGGCAGTATCTTCACGAGGAGGATCCAACATGGGCATGAGGCCAACAAAGAGCCAGTGGTGATCTTCATCGTCATTGCGCGCATCTCCTTCGCACATGGCAACAGCAATAGTCTTGTATCCAGCCTTACTCAATCCCTGGTCGGTCTCATGAATCTTTTCGAGGAATTTTTTGTCATTGTAACCTTCAACCTTCCATTGGATCTCATGGTTGTCAACACCACCTGCTGTAGTGTCAATGATCTTGGCAGGCAAACCTTTGGCAATAGTGTATTTTTTGTTCCCCTTGGTGACAAACGAAACGGTGCGCTTGACTTCAGGATTGAATCCAATGATTTGATCCTGAGTGAAATCGGCACACTTTTCCTGGGCTTGTAGACTGCGTTCGTATGCGCTGACAACGGCACGATCAATGGGATCCTCCTTCTTGTCAGGGTTGGAGCAAAGGTATCCATAGACAATGACGTCAGTGTCTTTGAAATCTCCCACAGGGAAGATACGGTCGGAAATGATGGACATGTTGGCAGTTGTCAGGGTCCCTGTCTTATCCGAACACTATGAAAAAAGAATTGTCAGTACACGTGTACCACGCGCAAAGGCAACATTGATTATGGGGATGCACTTACCAAAATGCTCATGGATGCAATGTCTTGGAGTGCGGGGATACTGGTGACAATGGCATTGTGTTCCTTGGCCAAGAAGGATGCTCCCAATGCCAAGTTGACTTGCAAGACAAGAGGCAAGGCGACTGGGATGGCGGCAATCATGATACTAAGGGCATTGAGAAGCGTATTTCGAACACTCTTGTCAAAGCCACCATAGTAAAGTCCGTCGACCAACAAGACAGCAATGACAATGGCCAAACTGAAACTGACAAGGGCTTGCACGACCATCATAATCTTGGCTTGAAAGACAGAAACGACACGGATGGATTTGTCCTTGAGAATGTCAGCTTGGGCTTGTCCAATCTCAGTGTTGGCGGCAGTGGCCATGACTTGTACGTAACATTCCCCCGCCTTGACTGTGGTTCCCGAGAGCAACGTGTAGCCATATTCATCGGAAGGGTATTTGCGTGGAAGAGGTTCTCCTGTAAGGGCAGCAGTATCAATGGACATGACATCTCCTTTGAGCCACTTGACATCTGCTGGAACCACGGCACCTCCCACTAGAAGACAGATATCGCCTGGTACCAATTCGGTAGTAACGACAGTTTTTGTTTTTCCATCACGTCGGACTGCAATCTCACTGGTCAGAGATCCACTGACTTCATCCAATGACTTTTTGGCATGATACTCTTCACGGAATCCCAGAATGGCATTGATGAGCAAGATACCCAAAATAATGGCAAAATCGACAAAATCTTGGGCTGCCAGAGACACTATGGCGGCAATTTCAATCAGCAGTGGTAGAAACCCAGTAAACTGCCGAAGAAAAAGCATGTAGAGAGGACTTTCTGGCACTGGGATATCATTGGGACCCCATTTCTCAAGTGCTGCTTCCACCTGCTCGGATGTCAGACCAGTATCAGGATCTGTTGGAAGAAGAGGGACTGTTTCTTCTTCATCCACAGTCTTCCCCATTTCGACGTCCTTGACCGGCTGTTCCGTACCTTCTTGCTTTGCGTTTGTAGATATTGTTGACATGGTTTCAAGAGTTTTCTGCTTCCTTTGCGGGCTGCTACTAGTATGCTGTTGCTGCTGGTTGTTTTCTTTTCTATTGGTTTTTGGTTTTGGTTGATGGTTTTGGTTTTGTGACCCTTTCAAAGAGGATCCTGGCTTTTTTCGTTCTTTCGGTATGCTGCCAAGTGTTCTGGCCCAACCAAGCAGCTTGAACTGTGAGCTCCTGGTTCTTCAAACGCACGAAGCATCTTCTTCATGCTTCCTTTCCAGCTACCGGTACACACTTCCCGCCATCGAACGGAGAAGAGACATTAGGGCAACGGTTTGGCCAGCTTTCAACAGTCTTTTTACAAGACTTGTACAGCACTGCCACAGTGAAAGTACAAGATACCAGTGCTGCAGCTTGCAAATTCGCTGCCCTTTAAAACATGTATGTCCGGTACAGCTCTACGGTACGGTACCACAAGTAGTGCTGTACACGTATGTACGTACCAGATACACGTACTACCGTGAGCTGTGTGACGAGAAGCATTGTGACACTGTGACTCGACTCGCTTGATTTGAGTCTGGAGTCCAGTCACATTTGGGTAAGCTACACGGCACAAGCCCAATTGCATGGTTGTGAGTTGGATCTTGCTGGAAAGACCATCATAGGTACCAAGCCAAGGATTGAGCATGAGAGGGAGAATTCTTTTGCATGCAGTCTGTTGCTTGCTAGTATCGTGGTTCAGTTGCTAGTTGTACATGTAGATCCAACGGTAGAGCTGACGACGGAGAAAACATGATTATTTGAAGACGTCGGCTCGGCGGCCAGCACAGAGCTGCAGAACCAGCACTCCTCCATTCCTTTGTGCATGCAGTGAACATGTATGTGCAAATGCAAAGAATCCAATACGTTTGAGGTATAAAATGCAACTTTGAAACAGGAGTTGCTGGGGCCAGGTACCGATAGCCCTACGGTAGGAAAGCAGGAGAGGGCACTGCCAGGACAATTCGGAAGAAAGAAAGGACGCAATTGATAGCATCCGAGGCGAAGATTATAGCAACGGCCTTGTCTCGAGGTTTCTCATCCTCTCCGTTTCTAACTTGCACGAGACCGATTTTGGAGCTTAACGAGGGCCAAAATACGTTTTGCGTACGAAATGTGCCGGCAAAAACACAGATCGGGAAGCACTGAACGGAAGTTGACAAACAGTTACGAGCTACATGATTTGAAAGCTTGACCTGCCAGTGATGCCCCGATACGAGGAGCCAAGCGTTCTGTACATGTCGTCTCCTGCTTGCCAAGGCACTGCTCGATCAGTCGGTATCACGAGAGTGGAGAATCTGCCACTTCACTCAAATGTCTTTCTTGGAGGAATCCTCATAACTTGTGCATCCATGAGCTGCCCACCAGGATAAAGACCATAAAGGCTTCTGTCCCTCTTTGGGTTATGAATGCCACAGAAGCAAACAGGGAGGACAGCCGCCGTCGAAGGTGACGACTGAATCGACGACGGCCTTACAACTCGTCTCCCAGGAATCATGCACTTGGCAAACCTCAGTGAATATTGCCGACACAAAAATCTATCATCTTCAAGCAATTTCTCAAGCACAGGATCCTCAACTCCCTTGGGTTTGTCTTCGCTGTCGCTATCTGGGGCAGGCTTAGTTCCTGGATCAGCTCCATTTGGAAGCTTTGAGTTTTCCTTGGCTCCAATCTCTGCACATTTGGATAGAAATAAAGCACACATTGGGTGGAAGTGTATCGAGCAACCACTTGCTGCACATCTTACAATGCCGTTGTGTTCGCCTGAGTCGTCAGCCTGGCCGCATAGAGCACAGATCACCACATCGTCTCCGTCCGCGTCAGCAGTTTCTGTCTTCTTCTTGGGCGACTTCGAGCCATTTTCTTGCTTTGGCTGCTCCGTCGCTAAGTCAGACCACATTCTACAAACATCGTGAACCCAGATATTGCGTCTCTCCCGTTTTAGCATTGACATTGCACCCCCTGTGTGTGCGCAAAGAGCACATGAAACGGGTTTCTGAGCATCTTTTGCCGGGCCACTTTCCTTGGATCTTGATGACCTGCGAAAACTCCTTTCGCTCTGTGTCGTTCCGGAAGATTCCTGTTGGCTAGCAGGTGAATTTGGTAAGGGCGTGCCACCAATAGAGCAGGAGGCACATGTGTCCCTTCCTTTTACATGATCAGACGCGATTTGGCAGCTTTTCAGATGGACCAAAACACCACACCCCGAGCATTCGGACACAGGCTCACCGAGAATGCTTGTTTCACGCCAGCAGACTGTACATACGGGATATTCTGCATCCTTGGACGCCTGATTCAGGACATCCCCAACTTTGGCCGAAGGCAGCTCCCCGGGTGCAGTGCACATTACACGAAACAGACCGTCCTCGGAAGGCAAACAATCAATTCTGGGTTCAATATGGATGAAGTTCAGACTCTTGATAGTCACTTTGGTGTTCCATCCAACTGATTTCTCCTTGTTCAGTTCACCTAAAAGTACTCTGTTCATGAACTGCTCTGGCTCAATATTGCATTGGCGACTGGGAGGCACTGTCTTCCTGGAGCAGGCGTCGTCCAGGGCATCGTTTACAACCTTTGAACTGTATAAAGTGGTAGGCTTCCCGTCATTTCTTTTGCGTTTGGAGGTAATAGCGGCGGCAGTGGCGTCTTGAACGATGTCATCAGCTGTTATACTGGCGGATGATAGCAATTTCCCATTGACGCGGATACCGACAAACACGTCTCTTGGACGCTTCTGCGTTCCAGATTCTACCCTCTCGCTTGTTATGAAGGATTTGTAGACGACTCTATGGGATGTGCGAGACGGTGTCTTCTCCATCCAAACCAACTGACTCCTCCCCGGAGGAGGGCTACGTGCTGCATTTTTCCCCTTTGTTATCGGACGAAAGTCTTGCGGATATGCTGCAGGTAGCAAAAGGGGGACTCTTGGTTGATCCCTCTGAAATATGACAGGCCTGGTGCTTGCAGACTCAACCTTGACCGACAGAAAGACGGTTTTAAGCCGAGCCATCCCATTTTCCAACTTTCTTCGCTTCTCTGCCTGGATTTGCTGAAAAGAATCAAAGGCGTCAACTTTATCAGGCAACATAACCTTGGAGACATTGGAAGCCTGGACTTTGGAAGATCCAGAGCCAGAGCCAGGAGCAGGTTCAATCAGCGGATCTCTGAGAAGAATTGATGGCTTGCAACCAGTTCTAATTGCAGCCGACAGTGCTGATCTCTCGTGACTCTCCAAGCAAGGTGCACATGTCTTCAGTTCAATCACTCCAGGATCGTCGGCGCGTCTTGCAACAGCTCGGATGCAGTCTTCATCGTCGTCGTCGTCGGATTCTTCGTAGTCCATTTCATCCTTTGGAAGGTCAAAGTTTCCCTGCTTCAGGGAGCAGACTTGACGGTCAGGGTCGTCCATAGAAATAACGCCAGGCATCTCATCAATATCTCTCGGAATGTTTCTGACGACAGGGTCAATGTTGTGACCCCATGGGAAGCTCATGGGGAAGACAATGCGCCCAAGGATGGAGTTTGCGTCTTCGAAGACTGCCTTAGTGTAAGCGCCTTCATCTACCCGCGCTAGTGTGGAAGCAAGCGCATCAATGAAAGCGCATTGCTCGTCGTCTCCATCCAAGCTTTCTGAAGACTCCTTTCAGCCACACAAAAAGGAAGGAATATCACAACGTCAGCGACGGCGCGGCATCAGAAGGAGCGGGAGCAAAGCTAGAATACCATGACTTATCATGGTAGAGATCAGGGTATCTCAACCTAGCTAGCTTGCCAGAGGCTTGTTGGACGGTGCCGGGTGCTGCTGCTACGAGTCAAGCGTAGCTAACGACGGGGTACTTACTTGTTCCTGGTCTCTTTTCTTCCCATTTGGGTGTTCACCACCGTTCTTGGATTGTGCTGCTGACCTTGTGGCCCTAGTCGCCCTACTAGGAACCTCAGCCTTTGATGCATTTGAGGTTACGCTTGCCGCGTCGGACGGGCCCCGCTGCGCTGCTGAGGGGTCAGGACCCCCTTCTGGCTTTGAAGATTCTGCGCTGCCTTTCTCTGCTGACTTACCATTTCCTTCATCTGAGGGTTTAGGAGGGTCCTTGTCATTGTCGGATAGCCCCGGAGCTTGCGCATTGCCAACCTTAGCCCCACCCTCGCTGGGCACGGTCTCCTCCGGCCCGAGGTGCTTTTTTGAACTCATCAAATTCGCTAAAATTATCGAATGGACCTCAGGAGACAAACTAAATGCACCCTACGTCTCTGAATAGTAAGTACAGACGAGTCCACCACCTGCAAAGTAGTAGCTAAGGTTGGTTACCGATGTAGTGAAGGGCATCCACCATGCTCCTCAGGACCCTTTTGTGATGAGCGAGGTAGAGGGAGCAAACGCGTCGATCGCTGGGCCTAAGCTCCCTTGGAAGACAGACAGACCGCCAGCGCTGACAGATGACGCACACTGGACCAGTATCTTTGTCGACCTGGAGGGACTTTTCCTTCCTGGATGCCAACCTGGCTGGCACTTGCCTTTCTCGCCTCTTTTGGCTACGACAGTGGGCAGCGTGAACTGCATGCTGAGGAGGTACGACTGTACACAGTGGATGAACCTTTGACATTACCGGTACTGGTACTGTAGTACTCCCTCAGGGAGCACTAGCTAGTATTTGCGGAGGCAGTCTTCTTTCAAGTTGTTTCTATCTGGCTGTCTTGACTACTCTAGCTATCAACTTGAAGACTCAAGGCAAGCTGTGTCAGCCTTTGAGCTTTGTCAGCCTTTGATGCAGCATAGAATTTAAAGACAAATCAGATCAGGGAATGGATCCAACTACAGGGTCTACCACTAGCTGGCCATTGGAATATGGATACAAGCTTCACTCTCCATTGGAGCTATCTAGGATTTGCTGCTAAGTACTAGATTACTATTCTTGTCCTAAAAAAACCCAAAAACTGAATGTCTATTAACGGATTCAGACAAGATGTGCTTGAGGACGACCCACGAGCCGAGGCCCGGGTATTTCCCACTGTCAAGTCTGCTATTCTTGTCCTTTAATACACTAGTAGTAGTACTGCTGCAAGCCAAAAGCAAGCAGAGAGAGGAGGGACACAGTTAGAGTGACGAGTCTCTGGAAAGCAGCCACAACTGAATCGACTTTTCAGGCAGCCGACTTTGCTTCTTGCCCAGGCAGGGAAACAAGCAAACAGGTAGCTAATTGCCCCAATAGTTCTGCTGTTGTTGACTGAGCTACATTTCAGTGCATCCAGGCATTGCTCGCAAGCAAGCTGCCAAACTAAGCAGAGATTGCTTGAAGGCAGCGTGGCGATAGGCACGCCAGTAGCTACCATCATCATGATCAGGCAAAGGTCCAGCTCAGTTGCTGCATGTCATGTCTAGCTAGTACCAGGTAGGAGGTTTCCACATGCCGAGCAATTGATTGGTTCCTGGCTACGGGTACCAGTACCGGCAGCTTCCCCGCTCAGCCTCATCGAGACTTGCCACGTTACGGTGCGGTAGTCTACTCCTCTAGCTACCGGTAGTAGCCAATCCAGGAGTTGGTGTTCCTCCGTTGCAAAAATTAATCCAAATCAGCCACTCGTACCTCGTACATACTGGCCGCAGTCTGATGAGTGAGCGGTTGTATGTTGCTCTAGAAGATCCCGCCACGCCAGGCGTCAACGGTGAATCCAAAAAATGAAGGGGCACGAAAACGTTCGACTGCAAGAAGGCTTCTGGAAGCATTTTTCGCCACGCTCCGCCCAAGCGCAGCCAACGGTTAGGGGAATTTGAAAGAACCGAAGTGACATCTTCTAAACAAACAGCCCTTATGAGTTAGCTGTGTCATAGTCACACAGAAAGACAAGAAATTTGGCTCGGGGTCAAGAGAGCGGGAGGTTCAATTGAGGCGGGAGTCATCACACCGTCACACAGTGTATGCAAGAACCGTGTTGGACTTGAAAGAGGAGAAGCCTCCAATTCTGTTAAGAGTTCCTTTTTGAATGTGTGTGGCGTGGGGTGCGCTCTAGTCTTGTACACAGGCGAAGGTAGTTTAGGGAAATATAGAGACAAAGTTAAATCTACTTTGAGCAAATTTGTGAAGGGATCGATTTTACCAGATCTACCTGAATGAACGTTTTCTTCTTTGCCGCCATCCGCCATCTTAGGCCTCCACGAAACGAAAAGCTGGCTCTCACAAATTTTTTGGTGAGCGCCATGCCAAGCATTTAATTTACTGAGTAGTTGTCAGAAGAGAAAGGAAAGTAGTTCGCTGGTGCAAGACAACAGAAGTCAACAATAGAACTGTAGATTGTACGAATTGATCAAGCGACAATGAGGACGGACACTATCCTATCGATTTCTAGAGGCAGTGTGGAATGCACATTCAAACCAATTCGGGTGAGTGTCACAAACAGCTTGGTGCACCAAGTGAATCGAAGACCTTTGCTTCGAGCAGCTCTGGGAATTCTATTGATTCGATTCTCTGCTAGCTAGTAGCTACTTGTAGATCTGGATCGAGCGAAATCGCATCAAGATGATCTCCTCGAAATCACATTGTTTCACCGACATCATCATCTAACGATCCTTTTGGCTTCATTTTTTGATTCGCATCCATCAACAGGCATGGGACAGGGTCACATCACCGGTTCACTCACACCACAACGACCATGTAGCAGACAACGAGGTGATGGCATCCAAGCCGTACGGCATCAAGGTAAGGAGAACGATGGAGTTGACGCGCCACAGCCAAACACCCTTGTATGTGTGTCGCTATTTAGGTTGGTCCATACTCAAGATTTTTTCTCCATCACGCTATCACAGGAGGACATTGATGAGACCTTGAACATTGACACCCACGATCTCTACATTGACATGCAAGAACGACAATTGGATTTCGTTTCACCCTCAGCCTACTCCCCCAATGCATCGTACTTGCCCTACAGACGATATTTGGTGGACTGGATGAGTGATGTAGGCGAGCAGTGCCGTCTGCACAACTCGACTGTCCACGTTAGCGTCTTGTTCTTGGACAAAATTTTCCGGTCCAGGGATATCCCGAGAGGACAGTGGCAGCTCCTTGCCACGGCGTGCATCAGCTTGGCTGCCAAGTACGAGGAGGCCGAAGAGCACTGTCCGCAGATTCCTGACTTGTTGCATTTGACCAAGCTGAACAATGCGGGGCATTCATCGCTGTCCTTTCGGCAAGGGGAACTAGAGGTTCTTCGGTACCTAGGTTGGAGACTACGCGCCATTCCGGCCATTCACGTAGTGGGATACTATCTATCCAAGGGGGCTACCTTTGTGGACGACACGTGGCAAGGACGTGCTTTGATTGAGAAGATCCCCAAGTATGTCAAGAAGTATGCGGATTTCTTTTGCAACCTCACATTGCAGGAGTACTCCTTCCAGCAGTACCTCCCGAGCCACTTGGCAGCTGCTATTCTCTATGCCTCTCGGGTTGCTCTGCAACTGGAACCCAAGTGGAGACCCGAGTTGACTCGCCTTACGGGATACCAGGAAAGCCAGATTATGGAATGCTTCCACCATGTTTGGTCGTACTACGAAGAACAATTCCCTGGACACGGTTCTCGCTCAATTTCGCCACGCAGTGTTACCAACAGCGACGTATTCCCTTGAGGCATGTCAAGGGTATGTTGGTGGCCTTCCAACGAAACGAGAACTATATTGGGGAAACTTGCCGAGTTTCATGTAGGCAAAAAGCCCTACTTGAAGCCTGTGGAAAACTATTTCTATGACGCGCTTGCTATCATTGTCTGTTATGCGGATCCGGTCCGCTGTATCTTTTGCGTCGATTGGCTTGTCCAAGAGGGCTAAATCGCCTCCCTGTAGGTTGCCTTTCCATTGGCACATCTAATTCTTTGCTATAGTCTGCACCACCAGTTATTGTGAGACTACTAGCTATATAGTGTCGCGTCTCCGCATGCATGTCGTGAGAGCCGCGCACAGCCACCGTAGAGTTTCGACGAAGCCGCTTTGAGAACTGTATTATATCTTTTGAATCATTGGCGTTATATCTTGACACTTCCATTTATACTTTACTGGGTACCGCTACTGACTAGCTGACACCTTCCTCACCGCCTCCTCATTTTTGTGACGATCGAAGGTGGATCAAGGCCAAAGATCCAACAAAAATGTCATTGCACTCGACCTTTGGCGTCTATTCACCCCCGAAGTCCACTCTAACCAAATAGTAGCCCAATTTAATTAAAAACAAAGTTGTCATCATTTCAACATCTCAACCAATCCTCAACTGCGGCACAGCTATGATACCCATCAAACTGTTGCTTGGTTTGGCACTATGCCTGTCGTCGCTATTAGATTTATCTTCGGGGTTGCTATCGCCAGATCCGGTTGTTAATCGACGTGATTTCTGGCAGGAAATTGGGTCTTTGACGGCATCAAGTCTGTTGTTGCTGCCGCAACAGGCACTGGCTGCTGGGCCTTCTCTGGCGGAGCTTCAGGCAACAACCCAAAAAGCACGAACACAGCTAGAAGCTGTACCAGATATTATTAAGAAAGAAGAATGGGATCGAGTTCGAGCCCTTCTGATCACCCCTCCTCTGAGTGATTTTTGGACCACAACCAAAAAAGGTGGCAATGTCTTGATGCAAATTGCGGATGCTGTGGGCGATGCTGGTGGGGACGAGCTGCAGATTCTGGAGCTAAGGGAAGACGTGCAATCGCACTTGCGCTATCTGGATATGGCGGTGTACAACAACGTGTTCAATCCGATTACCGTGGAAGGCACAGCCGGTGCTACAAAGGCGTTGGTTCGATCTTACTACGAAGATCCAATCAATGAACTTAAGGCATCTGTTGCTGCCTTTGATGGCATTCTAGCAGAGATTGCTAATACTGGTCAATAGTCGTTGTACTGGCCAGGAAAGATTGGATTGCTATCCTCATACCAGAGGAAAGGGAGCTCGTGCGATTGCCGACAAGACTCTAAATACGATACCTCTAGCTAGCTTCTTACATACGCTGCAATGAATCGAATCCGTCCGTCGCTATTTCCAAGTTTTTGATAGCCTGGGCAACAAATCGAAACAGAATTTCTAGTACGGAGGCTTCATTTTAGCCATTAGAGAATTGCCTACGAAAATGCCTCCAGGCATTTCCAGCCACCTCTATCATAACCTCGACTGGGCTTGCCGCTGTGCCGTCCTGTACCTTCTGCTGAATGGTATCTTCAAGGTCGCCGTTGCCAAGGTCTCGCAAAAGTGTTTTCTTATTCATAAAATCCAACAGTGTATACCCCAGTAGCTGTTGTGCAGTCACCATAGCTCCCGCCAGGGCCCCTGCCCAACCGGCGAATGCCACATCCTGGCCAGTAAAGTACAAACCCGGGAGGCCCGTACATGCCGGGCGTAGATCCATGTCACACATCCTCTGAGGAGTGTGTCGTAAGCCAAGGGTTTCAAACCGTCGAGTATAGTCGAAGAGAGTTAGTGGGGTCCCAACCTCTACGACATCAATATATGGTTCCAGATGAGGGAAATTCAGAAGGAGAGATCTCATCATTTTGCGTTCAATCAAGTCTTTGGCTTGCTTGTACTCCTCAGTTCGGCGCCCCTGCAGTCCAGCGCTAGGTTTGTTGGAATCGAGGAAAGGAAGAAAGTCCTCATTCTTGGCCTCAGAAAAGACAATGACCGTCGACTTTCCTGGCATCACAACTTCTGAATAAGTCGGATCCTTGGCTGATGCAAAAACAATGCCAGCCGATACATCCAACACGTCAGGATCCAGCAAGGTGTCCCGGTAAAAGTCTTGTATAGCGGTGGCATCCATGTTTTGATCTGTTGTATTCCATGGAATGTAATAGTAACTTGAAGATTTCAATCCCAATTCTTCAAAGGAAGCATTCAGCCCCACAAAAGTAAAGACGTGGCTGATTCCACCACTGGATTCTTCTACCGCTTTGTGCAGTTTCTGGACACCCGGCATCTTTTGTGCGTGTGGCGGCAGTAGCTTCAGGCTAGATCGAAATCCACAGTCGGACACCACGCCCAAGCGACTGGAAAGAATGTCCCCATTGGCTAGTTGGACACGCCGTACAATCGGTTTGTTGTCGCTTTCGTCCACTAGAATCTGGTCCACGCGAGCTTTCACAAAGACATCACCACCGGCCTGCCGGATGGTTGGGACTAGGCCTCTGGCAAACTGAATAGGGCCTCCCTCAGGGTAGTAGCACCCCTCCAAAACATGACCCAGCACCGCAGCTTGCATGACAAAGGAACCCTCTCCAATACTCTCTCCAAGGTCTCCGCCAAAGGCAGATAGAACAGTCTTCAGTCTTCCATCGTTGGTAAGCGCTCCGAGGACTTCTTCTGTGGTTTGGCTTGCATAGCGAATATAGGTACTACACAAAAGCTGACTGGTCAAGAACTGAAGCCAAGGTGGGAATATCTTGAATGTGGCGAATTGTCCTGCTTGCCACTTTGCTTTCTCCATGAGTTCAATGAATTCGTCAATGGCCTTGGTTTCACTGGGGAAAACTCGAGCCAGTTCCTTTCGGACATTGTCTCGCCCCTCTTGAACCTGCATGACGGGTAAGTCTCCGATCTTGAGCTCGTGTGACACAAGGTTACCACCATCGGCTTGGACGGAATTTCCTGCTTGGTGGTACGTTATTGCCCTGGTTTTGGTTGTTGCTTTGGTGGCGTTTGACTGATGATGATAAATGGCAGATGGTGTCGCCACCATGTCGTACAGTGGAGCACACAGCTCTAGATTAGCAATGTAATGCAAGCCAGGGACAAACTCGTAAGGACCTCTCCAAAAGGTATGCTGAAATCCACCCACAATGTAGTGCTGTTCCAAGACCACGCTGGAGATGTTGAATTTTGCCAGACAGGCTGCTAGCCAAAGCCCACCAATGCCACTTCCAACGATTACATAGTCCACCTCATTACTCGGGAGTTTACTCTTGTGGTACACATTGTGTAGCAGACTCTTGTCGTGTTCTCTCCACGGATTCTTGGAAGGGGGTTGCTCTTCGCCAACTGAAGAAAACAGTCTGCTGTTTTTGCTACTGCTGGTCGAACGCACAGACTGAGACCATGCCTTGACGTGTCCAATCTCCCTGTATGTTGCAGCTAAACATAGTACAGCCAACCATGCAAGAGAGGAAGGTTGTAGTCCACTTCTCATCGTCATCTTTGAGCACGGTTTGCCATCCAGAGTCGAGTCGAGTCGAGTCGAGTCCAAAGAAAACGAAATGGCAAAGGCAACGGCTGAAAGGCTTCTCACTTTCGAAATCTTTTGGATCTTGCTAACCCTCACCTTATTGCTGAAACGAACTGGTGCACACGATCCGTACCGGTAGCCGCGGTGACCGTGGAAAAGTAAGTTTCCGTGTGAAACTAGCACAGTGCAAGATTCCGCGCCAATAGAACTGATGTGCAGATGCCGTGGACCGGGAACTCTCCCCATTTGGCGATCGTGGAAAGTCGCGAAAGTCGTTAAAGTCGCGTCCAAAGTCGCGTCAAGTCGCGCGACTTTGCGAAAGTCGCGAAAGTCGCGGTACAAGTCGTTGAAAGTCTTGATTAATCAATAGTAAAATGCTAGCAAAGTCGCGAAAAGTCGCGAAAGTCGCGGTGAAAGTCGTTCCAAAGTCGCGCGACTTTCCAAAGTCGCGAAAGTCGTGAAAGTCGCGTGACTTTCGCGAGTTTCACAGGGAAGTGGTTATCTCATTAATCGGGGGACTTCCGGCCAGGACCGTTTACAAAAAGATGGAAATGGGTGAGAGAAAATTTAACGCTCGGAGTCCCAGAATCTGGGAGTCACCCCTGCAAACTCGATACCTCTACCAGTACGACTGTACCTTTACTCTGTGGTTGATGGTTGATGAGTCTGCCATCATGTACAAAGGAGGTTCTGTTGAACCGGAATCGTTGTTGCATTAGTAGTAGTCGCTTGTTGTTTCATTAACCGTAGAGTCGTCGTCGCTCCGTCGTGGTAGAGGAGGCGTCATGGTCGCTCCGATTGATCGCTCCGTGGAAGAAGAAGAAGAAGACCGATCGCCGAACGGCTGCCGCTGCCACTACCGGTAGCCAAGCAAGAGGAGCCTGTCATGGTGGTGAGTAGTAGCCTTTGTTAAGAGGAGCAGCCGCTGTAAAGAGGATAGCATCATCTTGATAGAGCAAATTCAAAGGCATCGATTTTCCTGGAAGACAGGATATTCAGGTAGATGTGGGAATAAAATAGAAATCTGACCCAATATTTACCACACCTACCAGTAGAGACTCCCAGAATCTGGGAGTGGGGTCTCCCAGATTTTGGGAGTGGGGTCTCCCAGATTTTGGGACTCCGAGCGTTAAAAATGGCTGCTTGGGGAGGCACATATCTGCAAGTACTTGCGTGGAAAGAGGCATGCGCTTGCTCTTATTCGCTGCTGTGTGTTAGGTTTCAACAACTATTCTATTTGGAGCACTTGCTTTCAACGTATCGGACCTCATTTCCTCTCCAATATGTTTGCGGTTCACAGGCGCCTTCATCTAAAGACAGCTCACTGGTGAGATCTGGACGCCCATTGCAACTGTTGTTTTCTAACCACCGATGTACCACAAGTTTCGCCGGCACCTCAACACAAGATGCCTTGAAGGACCCCCCACTGGGAACCATTTCTTCGTACGAATCAGTCCAACAGACTTCAGTGGGGTATGGACCAATGGGAAACCAATTGCTCGTTCTAACTGCAGAGCATCCTGATTCTGAATACCGCACTTGCCTCAAAAAAGCTTGTCCATTGTTTGCCACGTCTTCGTCAAGACAATCAAACAGGCCAGCCTCGTTTTCCTGGAGAAGATAACATGCTGGCAAATCCAATTTCCGGCCATCTTCAATTTCCAACTTTCGTGAATTGCAATTGACTTCAGCCCTTGGTTCGCCAAATCCGATCATTCCATTGGGTTCATAAAACTGCGTTCTAGTCGGTGTTTGGGTGCCTTGTTCGCACAAGGACATGGCATGATCCGAGGAGAAGCTCCGGAAGGACTGCATTCTGACAACGATACCATTGTAATCCCTTTGAAAATACCGGAGCCCATCATGATCGTAATCATCAACCAGCACCACCCTTGCGACAATCTGAATGATGACAATGATAGTGATGCAGCAACAGCAACAACAACATCCACCCATGATTTGCCTCTGTTTATGCAGGGAAAGATTGTTCCATCGATCATGCAAGGAGTTCTGAGGCTTGTCTTCCATTGTGTTGGCAGCTGCATGGTCATTGGGTTCGGAGAAGGCCACTTCTTCGTCATGACGAGGTGACAAGAGTGTGCCATTGGATTGATTGCCTGCTTGTGGAGCATACATGCTACTGCTTTTCTGGAGATTGTTGCTGCTGAAAGTCTCATCATTGTGAAATAATGGTGCAGGAATTGTCCTGGCATGATTGCTGAATCTCGTCTTTTCTACCACTTGTTCCTCCTCTCCTTCCTGTTCTTGGATGGGCTTGGGAAGCCATTCTCTTCTAGCGTCCCCCCTTGCAGATATATTCATTCCGATTGTCTTATTTTGACTTTTTATAGAGGCCATCGAGAGTGTGTCATTTGAGAATTGGCTGTCGTCGTCACCCTCATAGGCATGTGCTGTCTTTGGTTTGGGTCTTGGCATTGACTGGTTGCTTTGCCTAGTCTCTGCCGAGAAGTCGTCATCGTCGTCGCTATCTCCACTAGTGTATTTCTTCGCGTTCCGTTGCCTCGTTGATGACGTTGCTCGCTTAGACTGCTCTGTTTGCCATGTATCTGCTGAAAAGTCGTCATTGTCGCAACTGTCAACTCCCTTGTATGCATAGGAGCTCCTTTTTCTTTGAGATGAAGGACGTCTAGTGGACCGTTGTGTTTGCCTTGTATCTGCTGAGAAATCGTCATCGTCAGTGTCAACTCTACTATAGGAGTTCCTTTGCTTCCGTGATGACGAGACCCTCTTGGACTCATGTGTCTGTCTGGTATCGGCTGAAAAGTCGTCATCATCACTGTCAACTCCCTTGTAGGAGCTCCTTTTCCTTTGTGATGAAGGACGTCTGGTTGACCTCTGTGTTTGTCTGGTCTCTTCTGCTGAGAAGTCATCGCTGTCACTCTCTACATTCTTGTGGGGTGGCTGTTTCCTGGATGGTGGCGGTGACCCCGTGCTGCCGGACGTTGCCGTGTTGGAATCGTTGTCGCGTCGTTGATCCTCCTCCCGGTCACGTTGCTTCAAATCCGTGCCATGTCTGAGATTGGATAAGGAAGATGCAGATTGTCGTTTTTTGGTTCTGGCATCTGCAGATTCCTCTGGTTTGTTGCTACTACTATTGAACACTGGATTCTGGGTGGCTTTTGTTGGTATTTGTGGTGACGCTTCTTCTTCTTCGACGACCTCTTCAATCTTTTGAAGCTCTACTGGTTCCGGCCATCGTTCACTGACATTCATGCTGTCTTCCCATCTTTCACTTTGACTATTGTCATTCATCATATTATCGCCGTTTTGTTTACCAACAGTAGCAGCAGCCTCTTTGATTCGTTGTTTGACCAACACCTTGACTCGTTCCAGTTCTTGTCGGCTGGGAAAGGAAAAAATGACGGTATTGCTATTATTACGGTTGTTGTTGTTGTTGTTATCCTCCTGCTTTAGAGTGATACGCAGACGATCCGTTTTGCTCCCGGCTTTGTTGGCCGTGGCTTTTTCGAGTTGGTTCCAATCCCATTCCTCGACAATGCTGGGCACGGTTTCATGCTCTTGTTCATCGGCCGAAAAGGTCATGGCCTCTGGCGTCACAACCAGACTGCCTGTTGCATTGCGGTACTTGACAGGGCGGTGTAGCGATACCTGGAACATGATGATGAAAGGTAATAGTAACACAACCTCCACAAATAAAGAATAATGATTGCCAGCGAGACTTGCTTTCCGGCTCAGAGATCCAAGAACTTGACGTTCCGCGTTTTGAGTCACGCGAAAAAAGTGAGGAGGAAAGATGCTTTCTTTGGAGTCATCAACGGGGTCATGTCAAGAGACAGTCAAATGTCGCAAGGAGGGACGCCAGAGGACAGAGCTGACCTACTGCAACACACCAACACCATAAAGCTGCATCCACAGCTATCCTTCTATGGTATCCATACAGTATCAACATGTCTGACAAACAATCAGAAGAGAGCAGTAAGAGCACCCCTAGTACCGGTAGCTATCTTGGAGGCCACCTGGACGATCCATCCATTCATTTGCGAGACATTTTCGGGTCCCAGTGGAGCTTCGACGATGATCCGAGCGTCGTCGTTCGAAGCAGGGCCAGAAAAAAGGCCAAAGACAAGGAACCGACGAAGCAAGAAGTAATCAAAGAGGAGCAAGGGGAGGAGGAAGTGGAAACGGGAACAGCAAGTGTGCAAGAATCATCCCATGGTCAAGAAACCACCAGTTCACCACAGACTACGTTGCAAGGACAGCAGCAACACGACGACGACGGAGAAGAAGAATATGATGATAGAAAGCCACCAGCATCCACTACAGTACCAACTGTAGATCATACGAGTACTTACAATGCGGATGACACAGAAACGGAGCAATCTGCCCACGGTCAAGACAACACAGCCAGTCATCAACAAGCGACAACACCTCCAGCAAAAAAGAAACTGACCAGTCTCGAGCGAATCCGTCGACCGTTGAATCCTAACTACAACACCAAAGGAGATGAAAATACGGTAGTGTCAGCAACACCATCTGTATCCATTCACTTGCGAGATGTTTTTGGTTCGAAATGGTCTTTTGAGGATGATCCAAGTGTTGTACAATCCAGAAAGGAGGACAACGACAACACAGGTTCACCTCACGAAAAAGAAGATGAAAATGACGACAAAATGACAGCAACAGCCACTAAGACAACACCCAGGAGAACCAACAGTGCTGAGAGCGGTGCCGCTAGTAGTGTTGGAAGTACAGGTAGTAGACGATCCACGCATTCCCAACAACAACAAGGGCTTCGTCATAGAAAGCAGTCCGCACATACATCTCCTCAACAAGAGTCCCGTCGCAGCATTGACCGTATTCGACGACCTGCTGCTCGTACCAACAGCAAAGAAGGAGAGGAAAGCATTACTTCTTCACCAAGTAAAAAGCGAATCACTCCCATGAGATCCAACAGCTTTGTGAGCAAAGTAAAACTTGGTCCTCTCGGCGATGATTCGGAGGATAGTCTTTTACGAGGCAACGATAGTGCGGTTCTTGGGAAAATCTCATGGGATGATGATCATGACAACAACGACGATGATGGCCAGGAGAACATGGCGCAGTCATTGCCACTCAACCAATCATATATGGATTACGACGACACGGTTCACACAAGTCTATCCAATATGGATATTGAAATAGGGGAAGCAACAGGTGGATCAGCCGTGTTTCACGCGTCTTCTACCCATAGCCACAACTCGTCCATCTTCCAAGATGAATTTTCCGAATCCAAGAATAC